ATTGCTGCCCTGTTTGACGATGTGGAACAAACTTCTAAGCTCTCTCAAGATTAATCAAGCGGTTACGCAAAGTGGTATCCTCGCCACACTTTAGTTTAATTTAACGGTAAACTGCTATCTCGCCGGCCTTTCCTCGACTACAAGGACTTTATTTAGCACTATGTACGAGAACCGCTGAACTGGTCGGCGTACCGACAGGCTTTAAACGTCGCTCACCAAATGATCGTTAACACCTTCTTTAACTCCCTTTCAGTGAAGGGCGTTCGCAGAATGCAATCACCACCCATTGTAGACCAAGAGCTTAAGCTGAATTAGGGAGACCCGAGACTCTTTTTCTCTCTTCCAAGGCTGTGGAAAAGAAGATGACATGATTTCAAGTCGATGCGAATAAAGGTTTCGGAGTTGCAGCGTTGGGAAGGTACGCGCTCAGTCAGGTAAGTTCAGCGCTTTAAACATCACACGCATTTTACTCGAAGCTGTGTTGACGGAATTTTACACAGGTCTTTTAAATACAATTCACAAGGAATTAGACGTAAGAGTTTTTTCTGCCAATCACGGTTTTAAAAAAAAACTGGCAAAAATTCAGTTTTCACTTTTTTTATTTTCTGTCGTTAAAATTCTGGTTAATGGTTTTAACTAAAACTACTTTTTTCTTTCATTCTGACGATCCTGTCATGACGTCACAGTGGCAAAGTTATGAATATTTTCCTTTGAAAAATTCAGAAATTATTTGACTAAAGAACTTTTTTTCTCCAAATAAACATATGCCACTCAGCCCCTCGGAATCTAGAAAAGAATAATATTAGGGGTAGGACTCCATGCTAAATATAACTAAAAATTTGTAGGTTAACCACAACATGATTGACTGGAGAGGAGTTTGGAAGCATTCAGGTAGCCTCATGAATAGAACTACAGAAGAAATTGGTCTGGCAGATTAGGGACTCATGATTTTAGCCTCAATAAGAAATGCCTGTGTTGTGAATGTTGTTATTGTAATCTCAAAAGTTATCTTACCACTATGAAAGACCTGTCGTAAGAGGGGACATAAGTCTAATAATTCATGCGGCACCAGGATGATCCCGATTTTTATCTGACCAAGGACTGTCACGTACATAGCGAACATTGCGCTAAAAAATGCTTTGCGGGATATTTGCTACAATAACAAAAAACGACAATAACAACAATAACATACATATGTCGCATGAAACAACAGTACAATTCGCAGAAAATGCACAGTACGAGTTGTGATCAGAAAATATCCGTTATTTTCAAATTTCGTGAGTTCGATTCTCGCTTTTTTCTGTTATGTTGGTACACATGCCTGTTATATACATAGGTATATTGGCAATATCAGCCATTTTGGATTGTCGGTTTGTTTTTGACAGATAAAAAGGTTAGTCGTATTTTGGTGTGCTCTTCGATTTTTTGACTATTCGAAAAAATGGATCAAAGAAACTGTATGAAGTTTTGTGTAAAAAATTAAATTAAAAGCGCAAAAACCTTTGAAATGTTGATTGTGGCGTTTGGCAAATCTACTATGAACAATTGCCTTATGTATCTACGGATTTAGTGTATAAGGTTAAGGCAATAATTACATTGTGTGCTTTTCCCCATTACTTAACCCGCCGTATTTGATAGTGACGTGGTTCTGGTCTCTCTTTTTGAATCGGATTACTCAGGTTGCTTTGCGCGGAATCCTTCGGGCAGGCTGGTTGCTGTTGTTGGTTCCGCGGTAACCACATTGTTTAAATTGCAAGCATCGGCCAGACGAGCCAAAATTGAAAAGTCAAAAATCGAAGACCACATAAAGAATTAACTAAACTTTTCGAAAATATCGAAATTCACTTTTTCCTTTAAAACAGACTCGTATATAAAGGGTGTTCCAAAATTAAAGGAAGCCTTATATGAATTTAATGATTCTTAATCACAATCAGAAGACTAAAAGTATTGTTTTCCATTTAATACAAATCTTGCGTTAATTCTGGGGTGTCTATATGTAACATATCTACATTTAAAATAAATAATGGTTAGTTGAAAAAAAAAAATTGTAATAAACTGTAAGAAACCATTTCATTACCTTAAGAAGAAGCATAAGTATAAGGCATAGAGCAAGGGAGCACAAAAAACCCACAAACACACACACACACTATAAGTACACTATAAGTCCAAAATGATTATAGACTCTTCAGTACCTCCAAAATTGTAAAAAAAAATGTGTAAATAAAACAACATAATTTCTTATTTAATAGATATATTTCTCATATTCTTTTTGCATTTATAGTTTATTTTATAATTAGCGGTATTAAATAAATCTTTCTTTTGTTTTTTGTTTTTTGATTTTGTTTTTTCTTTTTTGCTCTTTTTATTTTACATTAAAATTTGAATTTACTTTGTTTTCTTTTATTTAATATTAAATTAATTAATTTTATTACACTAACAATTTTACTTATTATTAATATTTGCTGACATATGCATATATATACTATAATTATTTATTTATTTATGTTTGTTTGTATGTATGTTTGTTTATTTGTTTGTTTGTTTGTTTGTATGTATGTATGTATGTATGTATGTATGTTTGTTTATTTGTTTGTTTGTTTGTTTGTTTGTTTGTTTGTATGTATGTATGTATTTATGTATATATTTATGTATGCATCTATGTATGTATCTATGTATGTATCTATGTATGTATGTATGTATGTATGTTGGTATGTACGAATGAACTCTACTCATATTTTATATGTTTACAGTTATTTAAAACAAAACTTATTCCCATTTATTTGCTTATTTTTCTCTATTGTATACAAAAAAAAGGCAAAATTAATGCCAGTCAGTAGTATTATTATATTTTCTTTTTGCTAAGGTTTTTACATTGCAAAATTCTCTATATTTTTTTTAAGTTTTGTGTTGTTGCATGGTTGTGCCTTTTACAAATAGTAGGTATGTGTTATATTATAAATTAATATATATAAGTTTGCTAGGTTTTCGTTCTTTCCTCGTAATACATACATATATTATTTTCATCTCATTTTTTTTATTCGAATATTAACTGTGCTAATATTCTACATATTTTGTTGCATATATATATGTATGTTTTTACTGTTTTTTTTTTTTGTATGCACCTGCTTTTTCTTCTTTTTCTGCTTTGTATTGTTAATTTGCAAGTTTTGCTTCCTCCCCAGCTTATAGCACAAATATTTGTTCAACTTTCTTCCTTCTTTTACATACACACAGCTTTTTTTTTTTTACTCCAAAATATTTAATATTTTTACAATTTTTTAATTTTTTTTTTATTCTTTTATAAGTGTATGCAGTAAGTTTGTATGTTTAGTATGTACATTCGAGCACTTAAAACTTTTGTATTCAACGCAGCACAACGCGCACACCTAAAAATTATGTATGTAATTTAATATAAATTAAATGATACATATTAAATATGACAGATAAGTATTTTTGAATTCCAAGCGGCTAAGCAATGAACAATGGATGGATAGTGGTTTTAGAAGGACAGTTTTGGTATTGATAGTTGTCCGAATAAGAGAAAAAAGGGTAGAGAACTGTTCTCAAAAGAGGGCATACATGTATGAATGAGAAGTAAGTGAGTTAAGTGGCTACTTTCTATTATAAATAATTTCTGAAAAAAAAAAAATTTGCAAAAAAAAATAATAAAAAAAAATTAGTTTTGAAAAAAATATAGTTTAAAAGATTACATTAAAAAAAAATATTTCTGAAATAAAAATTTTTTTGAAAAAAAAAAAAATATTTTTGAAAAAAAAAATATTTTTAAAAAAAAAAAATATTTTTGAAAAAAAAAATATTTTTGAAAAAAAAAATATTTTTGAAAAAAAAAAATATTTTTGAAAAAAAAAATATTTTTGAAAAAAAAAATATTTTTGAAAAAAAAAATTTTGAAAAAAAAATATTTTTGAAAAAAAAAATTTAAAAAAAATTAAAATTATTGAAAAAAAAAAAATATTTTTGAAAAAAAAAAAAATTTTTGAAAAAAAAAATATTTTTAAATAATAGTATTGAAGAAATATATTTTGAAAAAAAAAAATTATATTAGAATTTTTTTTAAAAACAAAGTATAATTGCAGATACACAAAACATTTGAGTTCGCAACCGAAATTGCTGAAAAACATGTAAGATTCCCATAAAAAATATGAAATCGAATTTAAAAATTTCCAAAATACTCCTATATTGCACGGCTACTAAAATTTAAAATTGCAATTTTCATGCCAACAATGCTGAACGCCACGAAAAGTAAAAAAAATTGCTTTAGAATACATTTTTCAGAGTATCACGAACACGAAAATACACATAGAGTAGCAACAAATAAGAGAGCTGCTCAACAAATTATGATAAAAGTTAAATATTTAAAAATAATATTTTCACAATTTTTTACATCGTCTGCCTGCTTTCGAGCTTTCAATGAAACTTTGAAATGTTAAGTGTGTGTGTGTGTTGTGAAAGGTATGTGTGTATGTAAGGGAAACTGTTTAAGGAAACGACACCTGTTTTTGATGTGAGCAAAACAAAAAAACAAAAAAATAACAGCACATTGATAGTTAATCTTAAGCTAAAGAAATGATTTCTTGACAGTTTATAAAAAAAACATAAAGTCGTATGCAATGTTAGTATGTATGTAAATATATTTAACAAATACTATAAACTCCATTACACATTTCTATAATAATAATCATTTTCTTTTTTTTTACAATTTCGCTTGCATAAGAAAACTTTACAAATCCAGATGTGGAATGGAGACTTAAAAACGTACATATGTACATACATACATACATAGATTTGCATAAATAATAACTGCTCTTACAGCAAACAAGTAAAATTAAAGTTTAAGAAATAAAAAATTAAATTAAAATTTAAAAAACTATCTATATAAAAAATTTAGAATCATAATAAAAAAATTAAACCTTTGAACTTTGCATACTTTTTTTTAAATTTTTTCTTAAAAAAAAAATGCATCAAAAATGTTTCATCTATTTTTTTTTTTTGTTGGCTTTTAAATCTATTAAGTTTCATAGGTCAGTGTGCTCGTTTAAGAACATAAGAATCTCAAACATTTTCTACATACATTTTAACAACTTTAATTTTTAATTCTCTTTCGTTTTCACGTTTCACATATTTAAGCCTGGAACATGGTGTAGGGTAGAGATGAATATTATTTTGCACGACCCATCACTCTGCCACACTATGTTTCCAGTCTCACGTGATTTAATTAAGTGCTCTATTCTAAAAATTTATTTTAACTGCTCTCGGTATAATAATAGAACATCATAGAGTTGCTTTTCTATATTAACTTTGTTTTTTTTTTTTTACACTAAACATTTTTTACAATAACATTGTCCTCTATAAATTTGAATCTGTGAATTATATGCCACTATAATGTGCCATTAATTGTTTCGAGCGGCGCTAAAAATATACTATCAAAGAAGTATACGAATTGGAGAAAATATTTCTTTTCAACATTTGGAGTGAAAATAAAAAATTGCTGTTTTCAGTAGATTTTGTTTTTTTTTTACGAATAAAGATCCGAGTTGCTTCTTCTAGTCCAAAACTTTTGCTGACAATGAATCTGAGAGAAATATTCTTTGGATACTTGCGACACCTACCGAGCAGATCGTGTGGTACCTGTTGAGATAAAAGGGGCTACGTCGCCGAAAAGGTGACGGCCCTTGGTTGGATAAAATTCGATTCAACTCCGGTGCATAAAACTGGCTGAGGTGAGAGTTGCGTAGAACCGGATGTCGTGAGACTTATCCAGACTCGACAGCAATATACCCAACGTATGTCCTACATGTAGAGTGTCTCCGCATGATTTTAACCACCTCTTTACATGCCCCCTAAAACCGACACATCTAACAGCTCCCCTCTCGCTCTGGTCCGATCCCGTCCGAACAAGACGTTTCTTGGACCCCCCCATTAGATGACGTCGGTGACTTAAATTGATTAACCTGCCACTAAAAGCGATTAACGAGCCGCTACAAAAAAAAACAAACTCAGTGGAACGCGCATATTGTACGAATCAGCCTAAAAACAAATACTTTTTAAACAAGATTAAAAACGAAATTACGACATTATAAATTACAGAATTGCCTACCCCTTGGCGGCAACGACACTAAGTTTAGAAAAAACAACTTGAAAAATTGTGAAAAAAAAACTATTCTTATCTAACAGCGGTTGCGTCTCAGCAAGTTCGCACCTCGAAAAGTATACCCCCCAATACATTTAACTCTTAGCAGCTACATACATATAATGATTTTCTAACATACATAGATACACTATGTCACTTATGCCACTTACAACATTGAAACACTCAACAACTAAAAATCAATAGCTTTAAAATGTATACAATTTACTGTTCCGTTGGCGCACTTGATGTAGCCGAAACGGTTTCCATAACTGTTGTGGATATTGACGATGTAGCGGCCGAATTGGATGATACACTTGTGCCACCACTACTTACGCTACTGCCACGTCGATTATTATGCAATTGTTGTTGCTGATGACGTTGCTGATCATGTGCATATTGTTGTTGGTGGTGTTGTTGCAACTGTTGCGTTGTATCATCGGCATAGAGATCATTTCTCTGCTCATGAACACTATGTACGCTGGGCGAAGAGTCGGCAAGCTCCAGACTTTGAAAATTCTGCTCATTTTCCTCCGCCATTTCCTTTTGTTGTGCTTTTTTATATTATGCATATTTTATGTCCGTTGTTGTAGTTTTTATTTTTACACATTTTCCATAGTAGCGTCCAAGCAGACAGTAATTTCGCAGTGTTGTGAAAATTGGCAGAGAAAAATACATGATTTTCAGCGAAAAAAAAGAGAAATTGAGAGAGAGAAAAAGAGAGAAAATTGCAAATATTAAATTTACAATCGGTTTCCCATCTTTACAACAACAATTTCAATCAGTAAATGAAATGAACTGTTTGGTCTAAGGAAACAATCGATATTGAGGTTATGTGGGGTGGATGACAGTGTGAAGAAATGAAAAAAAATTTAATAAAAAAATGTGAGATAGTAGGGCTTAAACATTTAACGCCGATGACACTAATTTCAGGTAAACGTAACCGATTTCTATCGTTTTTTTAGCTTTTAGTTTTCCTAAACCTAATTAAATGTTTTCCATAAACTCTTTGCCCTCTCAAAATAAACCACAGTCCTTTGTATGCTTATCTCCTATACACTTTTCTATCTCCACCTGTGTATATCGGTACGAAATCCTTCGATACCATCTTCATTTCTCTCTCTGCGCTTATCTCTTTTACACTCCCCTCAACTCAACAATACCTTCTTCTCCTCTTCCTCGGTTTTCTGCCAACCGCCTATCCTGATTACGATACCAATCTCTCTTTTAGCTCTAAGGAGGACAAACGTTTGTATGGCTGAGTTCCATCATTCAGCAAATGGCTCTTGAAATATATGGAGTAATTAGAGGCATTCTACTCTTTTTCAATGTAGAGGATACTAAAAGAAAGACGGATTCAAACAGTTCTATTCATTCTGTCTTGCTTTTCACTAAGAGAGACAGCAGCACAAACTCCTACATTCACATACAACCATCGTGAATTGGCTTTTTTGGAGAGATTTGTTACCTATAAATGTTCTAAACTAAAAGCTGATTACTTCATACCACCTCTCAGACAATGTAATAACTGTGGCACCACTTGGTCATAATAAATTTGCATGCGAAATAGAACAAAGACCCCGCTTTAGCTGCGGAAAAGCTTAATCTAGTAACCTATGCAATACAACCAACTGCTTGCCTTGTACGCATCAAAAAGGAGAATTCAGCAAAAAATAGGAAGAAGCACCCATGCTGATGGAAAAAAAGGACAATTAATAAATAAAGACGGGAAGTTCTAGAGCAATACTTCCGAAATTCAAACCGTTTTAATATACTCGAAGCAGATGGTGAAGACTTTCCGACTTTAAAAGCGTCAAACTTTGACATTATAGACGGAGACTCTTACAAAAAAAAATAAAAAGTTGCTAAAACAAAATAGGTTTCCCACCCGTCAGCTTTGCCACCAGCAAATATTATAACCAAACAACAACAATAGACTTTACAATACTCCTTTAAATCCTGAATTCAACTCGCCTGACTACCAAAGAGGTAACGTCTCTCAATTTGAAAGGCTAATCAGCGTATTGCTGAAAATTAAAAATCTCTAAAAATCTAAAATAATGAGGTTTTCAGTGAAATAAATGTCTCAAACAGCAATTTGATAAAATAATGATGATGTTACAGTATAATATGCCATACCTAAGGGCCAACCTTGATTCAATTGTATATTATTTAGATAAATATAAATTTACTTAATCTTGTTCTCAAACTTTCCTCTAAGCAGCAAAGAAATGTATTTTACAGTTTCATTATGCCTTTCATGTATCAGTTATAAAAATGTACATCTTCGCTGCACAAACATACAATATGTTTCCTCGATTTACATAAATCATGCATAAATATCAAATAACAAATTAGCATAATTATAAAAATACATTAGCTTGTTAATCCACAAGTTCATAAATCCTTTCGTCGCACAAGTGCCAAGAGAATTCAACATGTACATTCATTTTCAGCATTGTTCACTAAAACTTTGCCACTCTTGGCCTTACGCATCGGTTGACGACGCCTTCGCGCACCAACACGATGACCCAAATTGAGTAGATCCTCTTGTGGTACATATGGTAAATCGTTCACATCAAAATTAGTCGAATCCATTTCGGTTGGTAATAACAGACTGCCAGCTGATCGCATACTCATGCCAATATCCATAACGGGTTCATCATACTGATATAAAGCTAAGGGATCTGGCGGCTCATCGTTTCTGCCAAGAAAGTTTCTTACTGCAACAACTTCAATCGGGCGCACAATATTCAATATAAATTCCAGTATACCCGTTATATCGATCATAAAGGTGAATGCAATAACGGCGAGTAAAAAACGTGCCATATAAAATGCATCATTACGTATCCATGATGATAATGTGGGTGCGTTATTTGCTAGAAATGCCTCATTCGCTACTATCACATATTGGCCAAGAAACCGACATATGAAATTTAACAACTTCAAGCTGGGCAGCCACACTTGGCGCAGTAGAAAATCATTGGCGTACAATATTAACGCCAGCTCAATGAAAAAGATCAAAGCACGCTGTGGTTTACGCAGTGCACTTGGCCACAATGGACGTAATTTCGTCAGAATACACAGTACGGAGAAGACGAATAAACTTGACGATATGTTGGGTGTCAGCAGTGGTAAACGAGAATACTTTAATTCGATCATGCTTATACGATTCAAATGCATGAATAGACCAATCATCACTATGACACTGGATTCAATCAACTTTTGATAGCGCTGCACCTTTTCAAACTCAAAAAGCATGGTGTGGCCAAATATCACTTATATGATGATGTGCAGTATATGTATATGTTTGGAGTGCTGGTAATTTTGAAAACTGTTCGCAGCGCTTGGCTTTTTAGCATGCCACTCAAGCGTAGCTTTTTAAACGTCCTGTTGAGTAGAAAGCGAATAGTGACGTTTTAGTCATTCAATATTGGTACACACGTAGCCTTAGCAAAGCTGCAAGCTTGAAGATGACAACAATGTGGATGATCTAAAATACTGACGCTAGATATTGCCGAAGACGCAGATAGTATTTCTGTTGATTGTAGTTTAGAATTTTTTTACGTTGGTACCGAAATTTGCAAATGCAATGGAAATTTTTTTTTTACAATTCAATTTTGATGGACTACTTATGAGTATGTGCTATTTTTGAAACAATTTGAGAAAAAAATCACAAAAAATTATTCTACAAATTTCAAAATTATGTCAAATCAAACAAATGTGTTGCGATCGTTCAGGTGTTGGTTATTATAATCGCAGCAAAGTAGCTGAGATTGGAAGTGTTATTACTGATTGGTAAAGAGAGGTGTTAAAAATGGCTAAATGACGTCAATGAAAGCAATTAAATGTAAAATCCAAACGAGAATTTTTAAGGTGAGGAAGTGAAAATACTTCATATACCATTCCCAAGACTACTTGAAGAGTCAGCATCATTACAAAAAGATATTGATAATTACTATACGGTGACGTTGTTTTACTAGTCTTAAAAACTAATTACTCCAAATTAGCATTCTAATGGTTTTTGAAGCAACTTTCTACTCAGGAAAAACCAAAATGTTACTAAAAATGCAAGAAATCCGAAAATTAATCGATGGTTTCTGAAAACAAGTCTAACAGGGTATAAAGCATAAGTTTTTGTTTGGCGAACTGCAACTCGGCAGTGGAGTGGTGGAAGAAAGTAAGTTTATTATACTAAATTTTTAATCACTTTAAATTTATATGACACATTTTCATAGTTCTGCATTACATCACCGAAACAAAAATTAAGGACAATTGCATTGTAAAACTGACAATATTTTAGAAAAAATAAAATGTTGCACTTAAATTTTTATAGCAGTTAAAATAAATATATGTATGTAAGTATGCATTGCTTGCTAAAAAAAATATAATAACCTAGTTTATGCTGATTTATGCATAATATAGTACGATTAGTTTTGATTTATCCCTATACTGCCTACCTAAAGCACTATGAATGTTATATGTATGTATATATAAATAAATCTATTTAGCTTTAATTTAATTTCTTTTTTTTTAGTACGAATAAGCGTCCAACGTACCAGTTCGTTGCTGTGCAAATGCATTACGTTGATTGGCATTTGAGCCACCATTACCGGCAGAATTACCATTACCGCCGTTACCGTTAATATTAATATTCGATGTGGATACTGCGCTGGCGGTATTTGCGGCGGCACTTTGTTTGATAGCCGGACGCCTTTTCGCCAAAGGCATATCGTCATCGGAATCGCTGAGAGTTAAATCAACCTTTGATGAAAAAAATATAATTTAATAATGAAATTTACTTATAAAAAATGCAAAATATTAAAAAAAAAGATGTTAATATATTGTAAGTCATATGATACACACCGTTTCACTGTTTGTTGTTGATGTTGGCTGATCATTGGATGTTGCAGGCGGTGCGCCAGCTTTAACCATCTTTACGTCTTCTGTGGTTATAACTTCTGAAAAATATATTAAATTAGTAAACGTATTCCAAAAAATTTTCCAATTTCTTTCGTAATCACATACCAATATCATCTGAAATGACTTCCACCTTCTCAATTGGCTTCGTCGGTGTGTCAATTACTTGAGCCTCATTACGCAAACTATGTGTGCTCCAAGAGCCGTCTTTATGTAATTGTATTTCAGTATCATCGGGTTTAAGTAGTGACGAAGCGAGTACCTCTTGGAAATAACTGAACCAAAAATATGGAAAATATCAAGTAAATAGTTGTTGTTAGCTTGTAACCGCGATCTTAACGTACCCATCAATGACCAAATTATCATAAATGGCTGCCTTATCACACACTGGACAATTCCATGTTGGCTTACGCTCATTCATCTGCAGGTAAAGACTAGCATCGAAACATTGTAAATGCGAACAAGTTGATGCACGACACGGTATGGACATTTTCATTTTGCCCAATGGACAGTTAAGTGATACCTTAAGCATTGTGGTGGCAATTTCACAATCTGCATCCTCAGTTAGTTTCTCTTTGACTGAAACGAAAATATACTGTTAGTAAAACATGTTTGCATACGGGTATGTCATTTTGCTTACTTAATCCACGAGTGTAATCGGCTGGCTTAACACCTTTGGTCTTCATACGATGCAATAGTTGCGCTGAAGTCAGTTTCTTTACTAGATACACGGCAATACAATAGCCACGTGTATAATCCGGACACCATTGCACGGTAATTGTATTGGTAACTGTAGGCGAAAGCTTAACATTCGCTGTGACATTAACCGGACGTGGTGGACGTTTCGGTTCAACGTTCGGTCTATTTGTTGGAATGACATTCTGAAAAAAATTAAAATTCTTATTAAATTAGTATTCTCATCAAATTACTAGAAAAAAAAACTGTAAAAAGTAAATAAAATTAAGTTATCAATAAAATAAAATTAATGATTAAATAAAAAAGAAATAAAAAAATTAATAAATAAAATTAAAAAAAATAAATAAATAAAATTAAGAAAAAACTAATAAGCTTTAAACAAAATTTTTAAAAAATAGAATTAAATTAAAAAAATAAAAGAAAATCAATAAAATTAAAGGATACTCAAAAAAATAAAAAGAGAAGCAATAAAATAAAAAGAATATCAATGAAAAAAGAGAATCAATAAAATAAAACGAAAATCAACAAAATAAAAAAAAAATTAATAAAGTAAAAAAATAAATGAAATAACAAAAAAATTAATACATAAATAAAAAAAATTAATAAATAAAATAAAAAATGTATGTAAAAAAAACAAATAAAAAAATAAATTAGGTTAATGAAAAAAAATTAATAAAATACTTAATACATTAAAAAAGATTTAAATATACATAGAAAAAATCAACTCACCGGTAGTTGGCATAACTTATTATTGACTTTTACACTGACACTGGGCGGGAAACAATCTTCTTGCTCGCAAGAAGTTTCCAACAAACAGAATCGTAATTGCACCTGTATAGCATGCTCAATTTTATTACTATTTCGTATGTCACGATTTGATGCAATTTCTGTGGCTTGCTGCGGTGTCAATGTAAAATAGAATGGTACTTCTTGTATACGCTGTGTATTACGCGGCACGAGTGATGAGGGTTTAATCAATACGCCCAATACATCATAAAATGCCAGCTTCTTTAGACGTACATCTGGATGTATGGGTATATGTGTGGGTATGGGATTCATAAAGGGTACCATATTGTTTGCCACGCCGGGTCCAGTGGGTGGTACACCAGCAATAGGTGGTCCACCGACAGCTGTTGGTTGACCGGCATTTGGAATACCAGGTGCTGAATTCGGTGGCACTGGTGGCATTTGCATATGTGAATACATTCTCTTTGGATCTGTAGGTCCGTACTGTTGTGCTTGTTGTTCAGCACTGAAAACACATTCATTATTTTTTTTCGTTATTTTTCATTATTAAAAAAAAAAAACAAATAACTTACATTGATTGTGTATAAACTTCACGTATTTTCGGTGCCAATAGATCGTAGTTTGAATGGAGAAGATTGATGATACGTCGTTGAAGATCGACTTTGCGCCCAGCAAACGAAATATTTAAAAATGATAGTATCTGTTGAAGTTCTACTACGCGAAGCAAATTTACCATTTCCTCACATTCCTACAAAAATAGTACAAAATATTTGCTTAAAAAGTATATATCAAAACAAGTGAAACCAAAATTCAATTCAGTATATCAGTGGTTTCTTTCTAACGAACACATTTAAAAAGGTGGGTAAAATTAATCCCAATAACTTGATTATTCCTTTAGCGGTGATTAAAGATTTTATTCCTTAACCCTTAATTGTATTGTATATTCCATGACGAGAAATATATATATTTACATAAGTTCACACGTAAACATAATTTGAAATAAAAAACTAATTAATAAATGAAATGATATGGGTTAAATAATCTCAATTCTTTTATATACATATATATGTACGCATTTACTGGTTTCCTGTTTCCCGGCCATATGTATAGTAGATGTTTTTATAAAAACCAAAAGAAATGAGTTGAGGAAGCACCCACGTCACTCAAGACTGTTTGTAGTAAGTAAATTTCGTTGTTTGCAAGTCGGCAATTCGCATGTGCCCTTTGGCTGACTTTTCCTACACGCCTCATATCTGTTAATGTTTTCTTACCATTCTATATATGTAGGTTTTTCATAGTTTAATGCAGAACAAATTTCATACCTGCCGAAAATGGATTATTTGCTGAGCGCATTTTTTAATTGCTATTTATCCAAATATTTCTTGCAAATTCTACCACAAATATTTTTTTTTGCGTGGATAATGTTTTCAGCTGCCCTGAATTTTAATCAACACAAAGCATAGTTTAGCACTTTATTAATTAAGATTTTTGCTTTCAACAGTTTTCAATACACTTTTTCAAATATATATTGCTAAAAATTAAGTAGTTTTAGTTGTTTTCCCTTAAAATTTCTACATTTTTCGGTTAATAGAGCAGTTTTCTTTTCATTCAACACACAAAAATTAAGTTGTACGCAAAGAATATGGCGGCGACGGCACCGACTTCAATTTGTACTTTACTAATATCCCCCTATTTTAGAAGAGAAATTTTCAAAACGCGCAGCATTGAACACACCGCATATTTTTTGTGTGGCGGCAGCCGAGAAATGTGAGTAAAGTAAAGAAAGATGAAAACGCAAGTAAAAGAGAAACGAAAATTAAAAATAAATAAATTTTACACAATGATTTTCAACATACACTAATATTTTTATAATTTTTAAGCTCTTTTTGAAACTTAAAGTCGTTTTCGAAAAACGTAGATTTACTTTTTATTATTAATAATTTTCAAAAACTTAAAATTTGACAAATCAAAAAAAAAAAGTAAGGTGTCTTTAAAAATTCAAAAATCATTTTAAGTTCGCCTTGTAAAACGAAAGGTAAAGTTACCATGGCTCCGAATCCTACTTGCTAATTTTTTCACTCAGTGAATTCGCCTTTATGCTTCGTTTGCTTACACATTGCACTATATATGAAAAAAAAAAGCTTCTGATAGAAATCAACCCACCCACAAAGTGGGGTTAATTTTAAAAAATCCTTCCAAATTAGACTTGCATACCATAACGAGTTTATATTATTTGCTACCCCTGAGGGGTAGGGGTTCAGGACATTCCTCACGTTAAGGCATGACTGTCGTAAAAGGCGGATAAAATCAAAAAGATATCGTAACGACGCATACCACTACCGTAATATTTCACAAAAGTTACTTTGGAGAATATTTTTCTAGAACGACAGCTATTGTCCTGTGTTCAGTTCCATCCAAACTTGATCTTCCTTATTTGTTTTAATTTAGGCTCTAAAGGAAGAATTAATTTACTGACTTTAACCCATAATAAAATGAGACTAAAATAAAAAAAATTTTATTGGAAATAGTATACTTGAATACATTTACTGCTCTTGCAGACTAAATAGATTACTTTTAGAAAAAAAAAATTTTTTTTCTTGGATTTCCTATTTTAATCCTTAAGCCTTTATTAGTACAATAACCGTGTGCCCATCACAGTAACGGGTCTCATACAAAATATCGCTCGTCTGCCGAATATGGAATATGGTGACCCAATCAGCGAATTTCATCACATTTTAATGATTTTATTTATAATAAATAACATATATGTATGTACATACATATATTACAACAAAAAAAAGAAAAATAATATCTGCAAAACATGCACCTGGTTGTTACATAGAATTAGGCAGCCCACACGTGCAGACACAGATACTCATGTATATTCAACTTCGATCTGATAAAAGAGGATACTCACGGTGTTGGGTACTTCAAGGACTGTTGTTAAAACTGGCTGCATATTTTGGAAATAATATAAATGGTTGTAGTAATGTTGAATTATTTATAGTTAAGTTATTTAAAAGGCGCGAAATATAAAACTAACACAGTAAAAGACAAATAAGGGCAGCTGATTAAAAAATAGCGGTTTTTTTGACAGCAGCAACGTTGTCAGATATGTACATATGTATGATATGATATTGTTTTTGTATTAAAAAAAAATATATTTTTAATTCATTAAGAAAAATTCACCTATCACCAGCATAAAAAATGCATTAATACAAATAATCTTGCAGCGAACATACCTTGATTTTGAAATGATCCGGTTGTGGTATACGTTTCTGTGCACTTACAGCAGCCACCTGAATATTGGCCGACCCGCGACCAACCATTGTTGGCTGGTTGCTATTATCCGACGACGAGACAACCGACGGTGTATTAGAGGTGGAGGAGACCGTACGTCCCGCATTTGCCATTGCGGCCTCCGCCTGTGTTTGTGATCGCGTTTTACGCATTGCACCGGCACTGGAAATATCAATGTTTCAACACACGCACACAATGAACCAAAGTTTGCTTCAAGACAATTAGCACACACAACATAAGCCGATGGATACAAAGATATATTTGTGTTAATCGCGTTTATCGCACTTGGGCTTGTATTCACGCACTATAGAAGCGATTTTACCACAAAGTTTTTATCACGATTACTTATCATAAACAATTAACACAAACATCTGCAGCAGTTAATTAATTTAATTAAAAATTAAATTTAAAACCAATTGGCAGTAAAATAAGAATACCACAAAATTAATAAATGCTGCTGCATTTTATGCTTTTAGCCGTGTGTTTGCCTTTCAATTGCTTCTGAAATTCTAGCCTTTTTTCTTTGTAACAAACAAAAATCCCACTATTTTTCGCTGCAAGCTGATTATTTTACTCACACTAAACATACCCAGAGGAAAAGGAAAGGGCTGCCAAGCTTTTCTTCCTTTTAAATATGTAAGCATATATAAGATATGTATATTTATGTAATCAGCATTATAAAATTTATGCACAATTAGTAAAGCATCACACTTATCCACAACTAAAGTTTCTTTCGGTGTCCTGAGGGGAGTAACAATTGTTAATCAATTTTACTGAATCACGTGCGGTAAGGCGAAAAGTCAGAAAAATTTGTACTAAGAGACCGTAATTTGGACATTTCGTTACTTAATTCTTACTGGGATATCTCACAGAACAGAGCACAAGTTACGTTCAAATAAGTAGAAATGGTACAGGCTGTAACACCGGTAATTATTTTGTTCTCAAAAAGCTCTAATAAAGTAAAATTTCATTGAAATTATAATTATTAAGCATAAAAAAAACTCAAAATTCAATTCAAAAATGATATTAATTTTTTTTACGAATGTAAACACATAGGTTCACCCTTAGTAAAACTGAAATTTCAAGGGTTTCATTTAAATTTGAATTTAATGCACTATCTAAAGAATTTAAACCCGGATATAGGGCAAATATTTTAAAATAAAAACGGTTTGGTATACATATGACATATGTATTTATTTATCGAAATGCGTTCAATTATTTTCTTACATATCTATTATATTATTCAGCCTAATGATTAAATTACCGACGTCGTATTTCTCCAAGCATACATACATATGTATGTATAAACTTTTTATATTTACAAGCATGTATTAAGTGTTTGTTTTTATGTATCTTTGTATATTATCGTCTATTTATTTTGAATTCGTTCTTCTATAAATTTTGTATATAAAATTAACGATCAGTATTACATTATAGGCTTGTGGTATATCCAGTAATTCTTTTATTTACACCCATTTTCGATTATGTAATTCTTCCATATGATTTCGTGACATATTATGTTTATATTGGGTTTTCAATCATCATTTTATTAGTGTTATATTTATGTTTTGCAATAAATTACTTTTTGTATTGTAGAACGACGCAATGTTATTCAGCAATATTTCATATTTCTGATCTACATGTGTATACATATATTATATATATATATATATACATATATATACATATCTATATATTGTATATGCAGTTTACTTAATTATCTATGTATAAAAGTACGTTTATAATGTATTTACGTTGTTTGTTATAATAGTGAGTTTCTTTCTATATGATGCTATACATTACGCCTAACGGTTCTGGTCCAGAAAGTATACAAATTATTCTAAAATAAATCCATTTCACCGCAATTAACGTCTAAGAAGTCATCTTCATAACCAACTAGATCTTTTGGCGGTGATGCTAAGGCCGCTAATGCCGATGCCGACGTTGATGGCTTATCCGGAGAAGTATCGGTGTCCGCATCAGATGGTACATGATTAATGGCATGTGTCTTGTAATCTGGACTTTGTTCATTGCCCACTGGTGAAGGTGGTGGATTCGATACTGCAATATATAGTGGTTAATAATAACAATACATCAATTTTAGGAATTAGTTATTTACTATTTCCAGACTGATTTTCCAACTCAGAGCCTAACAAGAAATGCTCTTTGCGTGTACTAAGTGCCGGTAAGTCCTTCTCTTGTTCACTAAGACGTTTCTTCAATTCTTCTACCTTACGATCCCTCGAAAGAGCTTCCATCTCTTTTCGCAATTTATTCGTTCTCTGTCGATCATCAGAAAAAATAGACTTGTGCTCTTCCAATGTTAGACTTGGATGTTTTTTCAGTAAAAACAGAAACACACCGCCTGGTGTTCGGCGCCGCTTGCCATTCTATGAAACATTTTATGGATCATTTGAATATTGGTTTAGTTAAAGATATTATTATGCTAAGTCACCATTATCATCATGCCGCCATCCAATTCAATACGCTGCGTTTCTTTATAAATTTCCACAGGTAATTTCGTGCCCAAAACATCAACAATACGTACTGTAAAAATATGATAGAAAGATTAAAAACTGACGAAAAAATCTAATTAATATAAAAATACCCAATAATTCATCCTTTTCCTCTCTTAATTTATTTGACATTTCACGGGCAACATCCACTGGATCACGTCCTTCTAGCGGTTCTAAGTCAAGTATATGTCGGGGTTCGTATGAGGTATCTGAACCACTTGTTGGTGATGATCCACGCCTTTCGCGCAGTGTACGTGTTCGATATCCCAATCGACTTTTTACTGAGCGTCGATGTGCAGCAGCTTCACTAGCACAGCGTCCACGTTTTGCTACCGGCATGAGCTCATTGTCTGAAAAGTCATCTGTTGAATTGGAAAGACGTCGTTTAAGGCAATTTCCACCATTCAAACGTCGGTGTAGGGAAAAATCATAATTTTCAACGTTGCGGTCGTTAATGGCACCATCCACACGCGCTACTTCACATCCACGCATGTCTTCAGTTAGTGCTTCTTCCTGTAATGCTGCTGTCCAGACATTGTACTTCTTAAATTTGGCACGTTTTTCTTGTGTCTCCATGTCAGCCGGTGGTACACGTACCATCACTGTTCGGCGCACCCGTTTTCGACGTTTCCGTTGAGAGTGCAAATCAGTTGCGCCATCGTGTGTCGGTGTATTTGTTAATTTTTTGATACACGCATCAGAGGATTCACTTGATGATGAATCACCGCTGCTTCCATGAGTATCATCCAAGTCATCTTCTTCTAGCGCCCGCTGCATATCATGACATGTTGCTAGAGGACTGCACTGATCGGCTATGGTAGTCGCGCCATCATGCGTGGACGAAGTGTTGATGGTCAGTGTGTTTGGGCGTTGCAATGGTGTATACCCGTCATCTGAACTAGCCGAAATCTGTGAATATAGGTCAAATTATATATAATTGCAATTTAAATACACATATTCAAATATGAATATGAATTTGTGTATATAATACCTCTCCATCCTCCAAGTCAACGTCATATGAATTTGCATTTATTCCCATCATTTTCGAGGTGTGATGAAATGTTGCGTCGCACTTTTACTTCCGTTGCAGTTTAATTGTCAAAGTCCTTAAACTTTTACTTATCGCAAGCTAGAAAATTACTTTATACATTACCATTAATTTGTCTGCTGTTGTATACTGTCTAGCGTCATTAGAGGATTTCAAAAGAAATGATCAAATTGTCGCAAAAAATGTTTATACTGTAATTTTATTTTCCTAGCAGTGGATTTCCTTGAGAAAGTGTGTACTACAGAGTTGCATAGCGGGTTGCAGCAATGTCGACTCAGCTGATGCACAACTGTCAAATAATAGTGGGGCTGATCGAAATATCGAGTCTCGTAATTCTAAGTAACGTACAAGGTGCTCTGATCAAAAGCAATCTCGATTCTTCCAATTAACTGTCAAAGGCCAGATTGCAAAATCACTGAATAGAACTTCAAAATAACTAGAACTTACTTTTCCATTGGCTAAATGTAGAAACATGCTAAAAGATACGAGTATATTTGTTTATAGCCCAGTGGTTAGCAGTAAATAATACTACCATTCGGAAAGTCAGTATTCGAGTCTTAATCCGGCCAACTTAGAAAATTATACGGAAATAAATTTCCCAACTGTCGGGGGGCCCTTGACTATAAATCTTTCCCCGGTTGATATTTTTGATTCGAATCGTTTGTCATCTACGCGCACTTCCACCAGTTTATGAATTCTCTATAGCCAGAGAGAGCTCTTTTCACATTCATGGTGACATTTTGACTGGACATATTCCCATAACAATTCCGGCAGTTTTACTCAGTTACTTTTTTCTATATTTTATGGTTGAAATCATTTATGTACATACATAGTAAGATATAAATATATTTATGAAAACAATTTGTGGCTCCTAAACACCATTACAATTTTTAGTCCGCTTTTGGTGTTAACTTATTTATCGCTGGCTGGAGAAACTCTTCAACAATAGCCGATACCATTTCATTAGTGGTATTAACTAATGCTTCGAAATCAGTTTGTCCAGATTGGGCACACATCTCAGCGTAATATTTGATTTTCGGCTCAGTGCCACTTGTGCGCAATGTAATAACCAGTCCATTCTCAAAAGTGAAAGTTATCATTTGACTGCTCGCACTAACCGGCAAAATGGCGTTCCCATCCGGCTGCTCAGTATCGACACCTGTTGACAATAAAACGAAGATATTGAGCTTGTTTTTTATTTGACAATAACAAGAAATTACCATTTGTTAAATCGCGTATATACTTGATTTTATACTTTCCGCTCAAAATCGAGGCAGGATATGTTTTTGCTTGCCCTCTGAAATTTCGCAGTCGTTCGAAGATTCTATTGATCACCGCTGGCTCGTAGCAGAAATAGTAAGAGGCGTTATTGTAATGGAAACCGTATTCCTTGTAAATATTTTCCAACTTCTCATCAAGTGAAATACCTTCGGCAGCATTTAAATAATTAGCCATGGTTACCATTTGACAGGCCGCACTCACACCGTCTTTGTCCAAGACGTGTGTGCCGAACATAAAGCCGATGGATTCTTCAAAGGAGAAAAGCACAGTTTTGCCATTTTTTATTAATTTATCAGCCTCATTGGCCATCCATTTGAAGCCGGTCAATGTTTCAATAAAATTAAAACCTTCTTTTCTACCAATCGATTGAAGTATTTTGGAACTAACTGTACTTGAAATCATCCAACAATTTTTAAGATTAATAGACGGATTTTGATCTTTGTACAAAAACATAGCCCACCAACCTAGTAGTGTACCAATTTCGTTACCTTTGTATATCTGAAAGGATGTTTAGGGTTGATAAGATCTTCCGTACTGTTCGCTCGACGAAGATACGAGTAGCAAATTTGCATCCTTTCAGAAGAAGGAAGATGAAAATGACAGTTTCGTGGAAAAGAGCGACAGAGGAAGTGCAAAAATGTGGTGTAGGAGAGCTTCCCAAGGCGAGACGGCAAACGGCCAAGGGTCATACTTATTATTGTTAAATCGGTTATGTCCGCAAAAACGATGTGTACACTAATTAAGAAGAGACTATTAATAGATAAATAGAAATATTAATAGATAAACTCGGAGCAGTGTGAGTGAGCAGTCTTCGTGGCCAATGGTATCTTAGCTATTCCTGAAAAGACTATATGGGTTTTCCAGATCTACTCGGATTATAAATTACCAAGCATTTTGCAGCCATGCTAGGGAAAGGCGGTGATAAAGTTGCATAAGGGGATGATATATTCGTATTTTACGGCGAACAGCACGAGTTATATTCCTATCCAAAGAACTACCACCCAATCAGCTTAATGCCATCATAATCTACACACTTCACCAAATATTATTGTATGTCGGCATTTTCCTCTAAATATGTTTATGAGGTGTTTAATAATAACTCTAAAGAAGCCTTGATGGAGTGGTCGGGACTGATTAGAGTAAACCCTGTCCTTCGGAACTGGAACCGCGACTCACTAAACCGCAATCCCAGTGGGATTTGTATGTTACATCGCAAGATGTGCGAAGAGGTAGCCTGCAGGAAGGTGAAATTATAATCTCTCCTTTGAACTCTCGCCGCCAGTGGATTGCTTATTAAGCTGGCGGCAGATAACATTTCGGCCATTGTAAGCGGTAAAAGTTTGGTAACCATTAGTCTTCTGACGCATGAAGCACTAAATAATAAAAAAACAGTGGGGTTTAAGGATAAGATGAAATACCGCATAGTATGAATCCGTCGTTCGGAAAGACCACTTTCCTGCCAAAACTTTGCCTTAAATACTTTGAGATAGGATTGAACAGGACGTTGGCGTGGTGGCTTAAAATGGCGGAGCAAGTGAAAAATGCAACAACAGTCCTTTAAATTTGCAATGAAAATTTTGTTACAGCTCTAGACTTTCATTTATCAACACGCATTGCATCTTCGTTGAATTTCTTCAACCAATACTCTGCTGTGGTCACGTATGTTGGCTTAAAAGAATCTTTAGATTTTCGACCCTTGGCATTACCAGAACTCTTAAACAGAAGAAAGCGTTTCATGAATTCCTATCTTCCGCGAGAGTACACAACTCAAATCTTTGTGGGTCTACTCGAAGGGAGAATTCATATACAATACATTCAAGATGGGGGATGCTGACTAGAAAAAATTTTTTTCAAAACATATGACGAAGTTTGATAGGTTCTGGGTTCTTACTAGCGACAAAGAGGTCAGACTCCAAGCTGCTAGAGGTACTCTTAACATTTTCTGCTAGTTAACTAGATAAGTTGGATGACAAAAAATGTATAAAAAGCATAGAGAGAGCCTGAAAAAATGTCTGAAGCCTTGCTTCGACGTACTAAGAGAGCAATAATGTTCTTCAAGCTGGATATACAACAAAAAGTGTAGTAGTACATATCTTTAGATGTATGTATGTGATATATCTGGTAACACTATGAAGGTGGTATCGTCTAAGTGAGGCTCCCAAAGGAGTCAACTAGTTTAACCTAAACTTTCTTAAGCGTTAGACTGAGTAAAATCGCCAGTTCAGGTTAAGCAGATGATTTTAATCATAAACCTGAGGTTATCGCCTAGCATAAAGATACTTCTTTGACAGTAAAGCCCTGAAGACGATGTTGATATAGCGGCTACGCTGGTTAGATCAGTGGGTACTGCGCTGGTTGGAAACATCAGCTGGAGAGGAACATGGCTTCACTTAGTATTTGCAACTGGCGTCAAACGGCGAAAAGAAGAGAGCGCTCTATAATTGATTCAACTGAAATCGCGTAAGCGGAACCCAACGCAAATAAAGAAGAAAAGAAGAGTCATCTTCACACTTCACTTAACAGATTGAAGGATTATAAAATATATATACGAGTACATAAAACATACCTTCCAAGCTTTCGTCTGTGCATTCTTTGTGGCCAAGGCGAAGCGATCTGCGTCCGGATCGTTTGATATGATATAACTCACATTTGCACTGTCCGCCAAACTGATTGCCATATCCAAGGCGCTGCGTCCTTCTTCGGGATTCGGAAACTCCACTGTTGGGAAGTCCGGATCTGGTTCATTTTGTTCTCTAACAAAGAGGACCGGTTTAATTTGTACAGCTTCAAATAAACACTGCAGATATGTAAAGCCGACGCCATGCATGGCGGTATAGACAAAGCGTAAATCGCTTTGATTATTGTAGCTGACAAACTTGTGTGGCACCATAGCTTTAACTCCTTGTACATAGGCATTTATTACATCCTTCGGATCGGTCATCAGACAAGTACAGATGTATAGACCCCTCGTGTCGAACGAGTCTGGCCAAGGCTCCAGATTTTCAAGTATCATATTATGTATGAGCTTATCATGTGGTGGCACAATTTGTGCCGAATTCTCCCAATAAACTTTATAGCCGTTATCATCCTTGGGGTTATGTGATGCGGTAACCATTACGCCACCCAAACATTTCAAATGTTTTATGGTAAAAGGCACCAGTGGTGTGTGTACCATCTGTCGAAATAGGAAAACTCTAAAACCGGCTCGTACGAAGATATTTGCGGAAAGTTCAGCAAAACGTTTACTATTGTGTCGACCATCATAGCCAAAGACTATGCCGCGTTTTCTACTTTCACTTCCTCCAAATAGGGTTTGTATATATTTAGCGAGTCCCTGTGCCGCCTGCACGACGACCAATTCATTCATTCCATTAAAGCCCGCACGCATACGTCCTCGCAAGCCGGCGGTTCCGAATTCCAAACGGTTCATAAGTACTTCCGTCAGCTGCTTCCAATTGTTGGATCGGACGAAATTTTCTATTTCATTGCGCGTCGTCTCACATCGATCCCAATTTAGCCACTGATCGATTTTCGCTTGTAGTTGAGGAGTTGACATTTTTGTGTGCTAAAAAAGGTTTCACTATATTTTTTTTTTCTTTAAAATTTATTTAAAATTTTGCATTTAAAACTCAGAAGTTGTTTAAGAAAGATAGAAAAATTCTCTGACGATTTTTACTAGACAAGTTATAACAAAAAATACTGAATTACAGTGCTTGACATTCCTTGCCGAAGGGCGTCCAAAATTAGAAACATTTACTTTATGTAATTTTGGATGTTGGTCGAACCAGGACTCGAGCCCTAGTCTTCAGAATGCCAGTGCGAAAAGCTTACCACTCGGCTATTGCAGCTGTTCCGTATATAACCTTAGCTTTAGCGACGCCAGTAAATACCACAGCCCGTTTGGCTCCTATTGGAGAATCGAAATGTAGTCAAGTTTCTCTCGTCTTGATTAGTAGTGTAGAGATAACCGTCTTCGTCTTTCGTCATAGGTCTAGTGGAAGAAAGTTTGAAAGAGTGACAGTGGTTTTATGGTTATAAAATCAATAAAATTATAGGTCTGACTACCGCTGATTATAACCTAAAACAGTTTACAATGTTATATAACCGTTGTTGCTTTTTTTTACGACAAATTCAGCGTTTAACACCTGCTGCCCAAGTGGCCGAGGGCCGCGTCTGAGCGATAATCGAAAATTCGCCCGAAAAGCGAACTGCCCTGAGTCCGAAACCGATAGCGGAAGATCGCGGTTACACTTGCCTCTTGTTCTTTTCACCGCTTCTACACTCCAGTTAAGTTTGATATCTTACTAGGTATTGACTCAAGAACTTTCTCGCGGAAGAATAGGGTTCGAGTCCTCGTATGGCCAACATCCAAAACTTAGAGAAATTTAATTTAAATAAAAAATTAAGTTAAATTTTCTAATTGCGGTCGCCCATCAGCCGTTCAGAGCCAGCTTAGTATAAACAGTAGGAACTTGTGGAAAAACATCAAGACGCATACCACAAACTGAAGGAGGAGCGGTTGTAAAGCACCTATTATGTTAAGGCTTGTCTTGGCTAATATTTTTGCGGTTACAAAAACAACAACCGAAACGAGTAAAACCGATGGCCTCGGAACGAACTGTTCTGACCGAATGCTACCGCAGGGAGCAACCCAACAGACATTAATTACAAGCCGAACCACCACCCAAACACATCAGAAAGGGATTATTTGACCTAAAGGACTTCATTCAGCAACACCTACAACAAACCCTGGACAGGAAGGAGTTACAACAACAACAACAACAACGATGTACAGATATATATTAAACGCCATTCACCGAGAGCTCGTCAACACCATCATGAATTCTCTTCCTGTGAAAGGCGTTATCCGAATCAAACAACCATCTATTGCAACAAGCCGCTACAACAACAACAAGACGAGATCGGATCATAAAAAATGTGTTCGGCATACAGACCAGTTATTAATGTTGGGTGGGGCAAAAACAAGGAAGAAAGTAAATTGCCATTACATAAGATAGCAGAAGAGATGAGATACGCCTGATGGTTAGGGGTTCTAGAATTTAACCGTGGTAAGGCATGCCTGTCGTAAACGGCGACTAAAATCCAATAGTTCCCTTGAAAGTCGGGTCAATCCGAGCTTTTATCCGGCCAAGAACTGTCACTTCCGCAATATTTCTTGAAACCATTGTGCGGTTACAACAACAGCAACAACAAGAGAGAACATGAGCTTATAAAATTCCCGAGATTAGGTGTAGCACCACTAGGTATAGTTATTTTATATTTAATTACTTAGCATTTTATCAAATAAACTCCATACCTATTTTTTACCAAATCTTATTTTTTCACGGAATCATTTTACGTACATAAATTATAGCATAAGTATAGTATAGCATAAGTGCAAGTGTTCTTTCTCCTCAAATTGAATTTGTACAGACATTAAGACGATAAGTGGCTATTGCTTCATTTACATTACACATTAGTATTAACATTTTTTGCTATTTAGTTTAAACTAATTTAATACTTAGTTAATCTCATTTACAAGAAAAAATTTCCAATTTTTTTCATTTTTTTTTTTTTTTTGCAAAAATTGTAACCCCAAAATGAAGAACCACATTTATATACATACACTTTTGTCACCTTAAAGTATAATGTTGTATACCTTAGGGAGAGCATTATATACTTATATATATGTATACATATATATATATATATTACTTTAAGGGTATTCTGGCTGATGCGTACATTTTATTTTATTTCATATATAAATGTATGTGTAGTCAAGTTAATTGAAATTCAATAATGCACATGTTGGCGAACAGTTTGATGATTGCAATTCCCAAGATTGTTGTCATTGTATAACATATTTGATTTTGTCAGCTAGCATGCATTTTGTTCAATTATTAATGGCCTTAACTATTATTTTCGTTGATTTGTATGTAAGGGCATAACATTTTTGGCAGCGCTGCCGTTATTTACATCGCCAAGCGTAGGAAAGTTCTCTTTAAGTTCGTGCTGCTTTTGGTGACTTTCCAAATCGTTAGGCATTAGCACTTGCTTGCATATCGCGCATACATCTAATTTCTGTATTTTTTTACGTTCATCAGGTGAAAGTTTGTTCAAATTTTGAGAGTGCACTAAATATAGCTCCTAAAAAAAAAGACACAATTAAAAACATACAACTTTGTATACATAATTTAATTGTTTTCAACAATTTCTTACTTGCTGCTTGTTTATGTCCGGCAGTAAGACCAATAGCTCTGGAAAAATGTCATCGAATCTGTCTTTAAGAGCAGCTTGACAATGTTCGTAGTACGGCAGAGTCTTGTAGACACCTTCTCTGAATTTTTGTGATATTTGTCGAAATTCCTCCATCGCCGCTGTCGTTTTTAGAGCATCTTGAAAGTGGGATACAAGTTTCTAATGATATAGGAGAATTTAAATTTTAGTTTCCAAATCATGTATAACACGTATTGGTTTCCTCTCTTATTACCTGATTTCTTGTGGCTGCGTCTGGGGGCTGAATGTATGGATGTGTACGTACGATGCTATATTTTTCCCCGAAGGAGTTGGTAAAAGTTAAGTTGTTAGGCGACTTGGCCACCGAATTGACGGTAACGTTAGTTGATTGAAACCCCGGTGGCGGTTGTGTACTGAAAGGTACATTACCAAAGCCTGGTGGCGGACGCATTTGCGACGCAATCTCGGCTCTGCCATTGCAAAGTGTTAATGATAGAGGCGACGTAGTGTGTTCTTCAGGCTTTGGTGGATGCTTATTAACATTATTGTTTTTTTCTTTAACCTTTCCATTCGAATTTTGTTGTGATTTGATATTTTCTGGATTTGATTTTTCCTTTTTATTATCTTTCGCTTTTTTCTCCTTCTTCGTAGTGTTGTTATCCGCAGAATTTGTACTTATTTTATTTGCAGCTGTTGGCTGTTGTGTTTGTTTTTTATTCGTTGCATTGACGGTTTGTTTGTTACTCTCTTTTGATAATAACGGTGCTGGTGCTATTTTGGCTTTTCTATTCTCTAATTCACGTTGCCTTTTATCTGACAGCTTTTGTCCTTTTACCCAACTGTTTGGTTGGGCTTGATTAGACTTTCCTGAAGACGCAGGACCAAGTGATGGAAAGTCTTGTGACGTTAGCTTAGGCGCGTTTGCTAATTCGCCGGCTTTTCGGTTTTTCGGTTCAAGTTCTTCTCTTTGTACGGTTTGAATCTTTTGAAAACTGCTGGCGTTTGCTACCGAAACATAATCGTCAACAAGCTGTCGTTGTTTTGCTGGCACATTCGTCAAGGGTATATGCGCGCCGGATGGCAACATATCTTCTTCGAGTGCAGCGCGTGATGTATTCTTTTTCGATTTCGACGAAGCTGGTAAAGCAGGAAAATCCAAAGCATGGGGTTTCTTTGATACAGCACCGCTATTTGGGTTTACGGATGATGTTGGTCGATTAGAAACATGAAGTACCATGCTGCCGTTGGGCCCACCATTGCCACCGGCACTACGGTTAGCTACGGCTTTCGATACAGCTGGCGCCTTACGTAGTACCGTTGATATGGGTGCTGGCGATTGTTGCGTTGTTTTGGTTTCTAAATGACAACACAGTCCTGTTAAAAAAAATTTTGTAAGTTAAAAAATAATTTTACCTCCTCCACCACTGGCACCTAAAGCTGGAAAGTTTTCTTTTGTACGTGCTAGACCGGAAGCTCCACTACGTAAACGTGTAAATGTTGCTGGCACTAAGGAGACACTGGGGCCACCACTAGTGCCACGCAACGATGGAAAATCTTCTTCATTACTTCTATCGATTGTTATTGATCGTTGTTGCGCTGCCTGAGATGAGGAAGTATCTGAATGATCATTGTAGTGGTCGTCGGGTCTGTTTGAAGGTAAATTTATATTAATATAATCTACCATAAATTTAGTAAGAAAATTATTTCCAACACTCACACTCGCGATCGGACGTTGGTAATGCCACCATCAGGTAGACCGGGACGCGCTGGTCGTCCAAGTGTTATTTCTAATTGCACTGTGCGTGTCTTCTTCGCTTCTTGTTTATTCAAAGTGCTGCCGTGAGCACTTGCAAAATGTGCTTTGTAGTCGATCTCAGTGCGGAAAGCGCCAATAAATTGCTCGGTAGCACATCGACCTTCCTCACAAAGAAAATGATGTTCTCGAAAGTGGTTTGCTAAAGCATCATAATCCCTGAAGAACGAAAAAAAAACTTAATTAAGCACTGATTTTAACAGCAGCATACATTGTATACCTGTAAAAGTCATTAGACTCATCGTCACAAAAGTGACAGAAGTAATGATCCCGGCGCTTGTGCCGAAAAAGTTCATCTCGGTCCAAATAACGTTTCTTGCAAAATTCGCATAGCGGATGTCCTCTATGCGAACGGTTATCACGATCACCTTTAGTTCGGTGCAGACCAATTTCCGCCTGTGTGTAACAACGGCGCTCATAGGTGAATATTTTTAAATGTTCCGTACAGAGATCACAGTAATGCAAGTCATGTTCCCTTCGTACATGATATTCGAGATCACCAAATCTTCGAAACGGTGGTACATTGCATCTTTATATAAAAGCATTATTATTTTTTTTTTTAATATAATTTTTGTTGTGTATGAATAAAATTGTAAATCGGTACTTACTTAGGGCACGGATGGTCTAACAAATTGAAAAAGGCCTGCTGTATCTTCGCTGTATAAAAACCGATTTTATACTTTTTGCTATAATATCCCGAGCGATTTTTCGCTTCAAGTTCGCGATAAGGCAACTTATCAAAAGTGAAAATTACCTGTGTACAAAATTGAATTGTGTGTCATTGAAAAATCTACTAAAACAATTGTTGCATACGTATGGGTCTATGATCCAAATCAAATTTTTACTCACCTTGGACAATACTTGCCGACAAATTGGGCATTCATTTTGCTCGCAAAGCACACGTAGACGCGTAGAGCACTCATAGCAAATTGGGTGATCACATTCACCGATCGAGTAGATTTCCACTTCTTTGCAACATAGCACGCACGAATCATGCTCCGTATCTTCACTTGTCACCTGCTTATTAACATCGCATGCAGTATCATTCACGGATTTTTCACTTGAGCTCATTTTGATCAATTATAACGCAACAGCTGCTTTAATAAAATGATGGGCTAATGATAAAGCGAAAAAAATATTGCACGAAAAGGGTTGTTGTTGTTATTCGTTGGCAGTTTTCAGAGCCTCCTGAAATTCAGAAAAAAATGTTAAAAAAAAAAAACACTTAAGTTTTTAAACTGTTAACAAAGGACTGTGGAACACCTTTATTTTTGTTTAAACTAGTGCAAAAATTTATAAATTGGTAATTATATCAGTTAGTAAAATACGCAGCAAAAGAGCAGCACATTGATTGAATTGTCAAACTTGAAGTGTGCAAGTTGACAGTGTGGATGACGTGGAAGTTGAAAGTGATGCCAAAATAAAGTTTATAAGGAAAAATACTTTTATTAAATAATGAGAAACTTGTTTGAATTATATTTAACACATTAATTCATAAATATAATGATTTCAAAAAGTTTAGAATATTTTACGATAACTGTTTGTTTGGCACAATCCGATGTAAGCAACGGAATATCAGTAATTTCATAAATAAACAGTTCTACATATCGGGAATACCCTGATTATATATGACTTTTATACCCATGAGCTCTATGTATAGTGTGTATTGACCTTGTTCACTTCACGTATTTCTATAGCGTCCTAGACTGATTGGTATGGATGACATGTATATGTATGTAATAATTCATATATATATATATATATGCTTGCATGAAAATATTGTATATTGGTTATCTTAAATAGTCGCAGGAGCCCGTCAATAAGTTTTTTTTTATATAAAAGCGAACGTTACAAATTTCACAAAATATACCAAAAATCGAAATGAAGTGATGTGAGAACAAATTATATATAAACTATATATATAATTGGCGCTTTACAACTGTTGAAGCGATTTTCGGTCAAGCTCTTCATCCAATTTGTGGTTTTCCGTTTTAATATTTTTCCAACAAATGGAGGAACCCACAGCTTATACTAAGCCGCTTTGGAGTGGCTAATGATATTTTTTACGAGGAGCTTTGTTTCATGTCAGCAATACACTCGGAGGTATTGAAATTTCTTGTTGAAGAAGGGAGGGGAAAACTTAGCTAAATTTTTTATTTAAATTAATTTTCTATAACTTTTTGAATGTAAGTACGGCACCGGGATATGAACCCGAGTCTTCCGAATTGCAATATAATTGCATATTTAACTTACATGGCCATTCAGCTGACTGAAGAAGAAGAAATATTCTCTCCATAAGTATATTCTGGTTATCGGTCACCAGATCATATCTTTAAGTTCTCCATACTTACCAAAAATACTGTTGAAAATCACTATGGACTATTTGATTTTTGGATTGACCGAACTTGGTACTGCCTTAATTGTTGAAATTAGTTACGGCCGTTGAAAACAAAAAACTGACGCCGTCATTATAGCAACGTTAAAGACGGTTGTTCGATTCCGATTAGACTAGTTCAGTGCGTAATTAGTCGAATAACTGCCATGGCGACTTGTTCTTCACTGACAATCACAAAATTTTCTTTATTAGCTCGAAGTACACACGTGTTAAACCGGGTGAAATTGACGTCGGCATATCGAAATTTCCCTTCAATAGGAACTGTGAATCATACACAAACTTTTCAAAAACGTTTAATTTCACAGACAGCAAGATTCTTGCAAAGTTTTAAACACATTCAAGCGCAAAATAATAATAATAAAATGTCGAACTACACTGTTGTCGAAAAGGGAACACCAAACTCAACCAATTACAGCATCTATTTAAGTAAGTAAGATTGTTCGTGTGTATTTACGTTTGTCAGGGACTAGTAAACTATTCTCGAAATTGATTTTTAGCTGCTATATGACCTTTACTTGTTAAAAATCAAATGCATAAGATTAAAATCACAAGTTATATAATAGAAATGTTGATAAGCCGGTTGCAAACTAATTCAAGTTTTTTTTTTAGCATTTTTGGCTATTTTTTGTTGGGCTTAAACTTTGTAGATAGTTTGAAGCAATATTGTTGTTTTCCAATTCATATAAGGTGAACAATTGTATTATTATTATGATTGTATGAATAATAGACTTTGGCCTAACGGAGAACTAGTGAAATTACATGCATAAATACGTATATATATATGTGGTATTAGAAAATATGTACATGCACCTATGTATGTATATACATATATACTTGTATAAATTATATATTTTTTCATGTATATTTATATAGTACGTACATTCGAAAAGGTTATTAAAAATTATCATATTTCGCCATCTGATAAGAAGCCTACCACCTGTAAACTATAACTCAGTTTTAAATATGAGTACTTAAGCGTACGTACGTTTACATACACAGTTGGGAAGTAATATTATATATTATTTGAATTAAGATGTCCAGAAGAACTGGATCCCTATTTAATTGGCTCATATACTTTCCTACCATAAATAATATTTTAATAGGAAAGAATTTTTAAAGGTTTCAATATTAGATTCATGTATGCATACATATATATTTTGTTTATTTTAGAGAATGCTTCTGGAAACATTGTTTCGCCATTACACGACATTCCGCTTTATGCCAATGATACAAAGACTGTGCTTAATATGGTCGTGGAAATCCCACGTTGGACAAATGCTAAAATGGAGGTAAAATTAATGACCGCAATTGTTATTGATTAAGCGTTTAGACAGTTTTTAATTAATGCATAAATTGCGTGCTAAATTTTATTTGTATTTTGTTCTTAAAGCTTGAAGTAAACAAATTTTATATTACAGATCAGTACTGCAACACCTCTGAATCCTATTAAGCAAGATGTTAAAAAGGGTAAATTGCGCTTTGTTGCTAACTGCTTCCCACACAAAGGGTACATTTGGAATTATGGTGCTTTTCCACAAACATGGGAAAATCCTGGACATATCGAACCATCCACTGGTTGCAAGGGTGATAATGATCCAATTGATGTATTGGAAATCGGTTATCGTGTTGCAAAGCGTGGTGAGGTTATACAAGTAAAGGTGCTCGGTACTGTCGCATTGATTGATGAAGGGGAAACGGATTGGAAGATTATTACTATTGATGTCAATGACCCGTTGGCTGAAAAAATGAATGATATTGGTGATGTTGATAAATTTTTCCCAGGTTTATTGCGTGCAACCGTCGAATGGTTTAAGGTATGTTCAAATTACTCCATATGTGAATGCATGTATTATATGTGTCACGCATTTATTCATGTTGGTATTCCTTGCGGGTAGATCTACAAAATTCCAGATGGCAAACCTGAAAATAAGTTCGCTTTTAATGGTGACGCTAAATGCGCTGCCTTTGCAAACAATATCATTGAGGAGACTAATAAATTCTGGCAGGGTTTGATTACCAAAGAGTTGGACGGTGGCGAGATTTCTTTGTAAGATACACCTATGCAGGTGCAAAAAAAATAAATAGTTACAAAATATTTAAAATTTTTTAGAACCAACACTGCAAACAGCGGCACACCCGGATTTACCAAGTCTGACGAGGCTGAACAGATATTGGCTGCAGCGCCAGAAGGCGGCGAACCTGAGGAACTTTCCAACACAGGTAAGATTACTTACATGAAACCGCACATGTAAATTATGCACAGAAACCATTGTACTAAGATAAATGCTCAAAAATTTACTTCCACTGATAAATAAGCACTACTACTAAAACTTAACTCACTTATTTCTTTCCTTTCAATTGTAATTTAAAGTCAAATCTATAAACTATATATGTATTTACTTGTCTCTCTTTCTTGTAAACGGCGTATTGTGATTCTAGTATAGTCTTAAAAAAATTATTAAAAACATATTATTTTATACTGCAGACAAAAAGTTAAATTTTTATTTTAATAAAAAAATAAAATAAAATTATACTTGGTAATCAATTCAAATTGTTATATCCTTTTTTCTTTACAGTCGATAGATGGCATTTCGTGCATTTGAAGTGATTTCAAGAATCTTTAGGATGGTGAAACATTATTATTAACTAAAATGCTGGCGTAAGGTCTTTATTAAAATATAAAAATCAATAAAAATGAAGTATGTACTTTTTGGAACTGGGATATGTTTTCATTCTTAAACTTCTATATGAATAAGCAGTTTAAGCCTTGAAGATTGGAAGAAATATTTACGGCGTAAAGGGAAAGCAAACTCTCTATGACTGTTTTTTTTTAGTTTTTAAAGTTTTGTTTGTTAATTGAACGTTGTGTTTATAATTGGATTCATTCATATTAATATCATTTAGCAAAAACTAAAAGTTTTAAAATTATTTCCTAAAAATTTTTCAATAATTATTAAGTGCCATACATGTTTATTTCAATTTGCACTAGTTATTTGAATTGTTTATTTATGCATTTTGAAAATATCGAGGAGCTGAAACCCAGGATCAAAGCGAGTGAAAATTTTGATAAATTTAATTTTGATGTAATACATTCATTCGACACAGTAGTCGATTTAATGCTGATAGCTCGTTCGGTAAAAAATCGATAATTAGTTTCCCTCACTGATACCTGCTGATTTTGACTTTTGCTTATCATTAAATTTTTCTTTTGCAAATATACGTACAAATTTTCTTTCAACTAGAATTAGTTTAGTTGAAATTTTAATTACTATAAATTCGAGTTTCAAGTGTTTGCGGTAAGTTATCGTTATCCTGTATCCTCAAACAGAAAGAGAAAATTTGCTACTACGCTAAATTTTACATCATAATGGCAAGATTTTAATTTAGAATTTCGCTTTAAATTTTTAAGTTTAAACGTACCAGTGACATTAGATTTTGCGATAATATGCAATAGTAGTAAATCCGATTGGACCTCCCATAGCAATTTGAGATTATAAAAATAAATATGTGTGAATTATTGCGATAATAAAATTGTTTATAGTGCAAGTATAAGTAATAAACGTACATTCTTGTGTACCTTGTACTGCGCTTAGATTATATTATATACACATGCACATTTTTAAAAAACTCTAAAGGTAAGACGATTCAGTAATTAAATTTAAAAAAATAATAAAGTTTGGGTTCAGTGGTTGTGGCCTAATCTAAAAGTCAATATGCCCGACAGGTATCAAGTATAGTTAATGCAGGCAGTTTCAGAACATTTCACCAAAGGATATCAATTCTAATATTTTTTCTTTCAAATAATTAATAAATTTTCTTACGAGTGAAAGTTCTCCATTTGTCATTCACAGAACAAACAATGGCATCTCCTCAATTACGTGAAGCTATAGACCAGTGGTTGAAGTGGGACCAATGCCAGAAAACTAATGCCGAGATTAAAGAGCTCGACAAGGCTGGGGACTGGAAGAGATTAGGTGAACTTTTAAACACACGTCTGGCATTCGGTACTGCAGGTTTGCGGGGCAAAATGCGTGCTGGCTTTAACGGAATGAATGATTTAGTTATTGCACAAACTGCACAAGGTTTATCCAAATACATGGCAGAATTATTTAGCGAAAATGAACGTAAAAATCGAGGAATTGTATTCGGCTACGATGGTCGGCATAACAGCAAGCGATTTGCAGAACTATCGGCAAACGTTTTTCTACGCGCTGGTTATAAGGTCTATCTTTATAAACGTCTAGTGGCAACGCCTTTAATACCCTATACTATAAGACATTTCAATTGCCTGGGCGGTGTAATGGTGACGGCATCTCATAATCCTAAAGATGATAATGGCTATAAAGTGTACTGGAGTAATGGAGCACAGATTATAACACCACATGACAAAAATATACAAAAAGCTATAATCGCTAACCTTGAGCCGTGGGCGGGTACTTGGGACACAGAGAAATTGTATGAATCGGAACTACTTATTGATCCAAAAGAGGCTATTACAGTTTATGTCGATAAAGTATGCGAAACAGTGCCATTATCTATTATTGAAATAAACAGCAAAAGCGACTTACGTTTGGTTTATAGTGCAATGCATGGCGTGGGTTATCCTTTCATACAGGATTCCTTCGAAGCAATTAAGTTACAACCGGTTATTGCTGTTGAAGAGCAAAAAGATGCAGATCCTGAATTTCCAACTGTAGTTTTTCCAAATCCGGAAGAGGGTAAAAGCGCTTTGGAATTGTCGATAAAGAAAGCGGACAGTAGCGGTTGCTCTATTATTCTTGCCAATGATCCAGATGCCGATCGATTAGCTTTGGCTACCAAAAATGCAAACAGTGGAAAATGGAAGGTGCAAAAGATGTTAATTTATATACATATAAAAATGCTCCACAAATTAATAATACACGAATTTTCTGATTTAAACAATAGGTTTACACGGGTAACGAAATAGGCGCACTGCTTGGTTGGTGGGCTATTCATCTTTACAAACAAACGCATCCAGAGGGTGATCTCTCCAATTGTTATATGCTAGCTAGCACAGTAAGCTCAAAGATTTTAAGAGCTTTTGCAGAGAAGGAGGGCTTGCACTTCATCGAGACGTTGACGGGCTTTAAATGGATGGGTAACGAAGCAGTTAAACTAATGAGCAATGGAAAAACCGTTTTATTTGCCTTCGAGGAGGCTATTGGTTTTATGTTCTCAACAAATGTCTTGGACAAGGATGGTATAAGCGCAGCATGCCATTTAGCATCTATGGCTTGCTATTTGCAAGCAAAAGAGCATATTTCATTAGATGAAAAATTACAAAAAATATACGAAGAATACGGTTTTCACTACACTATTACCTCCTACTACTTTTGTTATGAAGCGCCAGTTATTAAAAAGATTTTCGAACGTTTGCGTAATTTCAAAGGCGAAGATAAAACGTATCCAGTAGGAATACTTGATGGAAAATTCAAAATTAAACATATACGTGATTTGACCAACGGTAAGTTTCTTCAAAGAAAATAATTTTATTTCTAAAATTAGTTAAATTAATCGTTTGTATTGGAATATTTACAGGTGTTGACACAGCCCAACCGGATGGTAAGGCTATTTTACCTGTCAGTGCAAGTAGTCAAATGATCACCTTCACATTCGAGAATGGCTTGGTCATAACACTGCGAACAAGTGGTACTGAACCTAAAATTAAATATTACGCTGAAATGTGCGCAAAACCTGGGCAAACAGATTTTGATGGTTTAATAAATACAACGAATGAAATGGTCACGGCAATCGTACAAGAGTATTTACAACCAAAGGAAAATAATTTAACGGCTAAATCAGATTAAATGCATTGCTATTGCCAACAAACGAGTTGTGCGAACAAAGAAGTATTGATATTTATAATTGAATAATATTTTCAAAACGATAGAGTTCCACAAGGAATATATATTAGTGAAGAAATGTCAAGCTGAAAGATTGGATCTCCAAATACAAGTGACAGTTTGACCCGCTTACTCAGGATTCGCATCTATAAAACATTCACACATCGCTTTGGCATCATCTCAAAATATGTTAAGAGGCATATTCCATTTACAGTGATCACCGTTAAACGAGTAATTAGCACTAAAATTTGATCGATAGTAAAATAATTTTTTTGATATAATTTTTATACTTGTGTTTATAGAATTTTATGCTTTATATACATAATACGATTTTATTTTATTTTTACTTTATGTTTGCGACCATAATATAAATATATATATAAACAATATTATATCGCAATAATTAATGACATATTAAATACATAATTGATGTAATTGCTTCTTATATGTACAAGTATATATTGTGTCAGTGTTGAGCAAGAATAAAGTGTTTTGTTCCAAAAAAAAAATAGAGATCTTTGTTATATATTTTTATGTCTCTGCTAAAGACTTCCCAAAACAACAAACAAGGTTATAATCATTTATAAGTGCCATAATAATCTATAGACGTATATGTGTCCTGGATGACTGACTGATCGGAAATCGCTAATTTAACCTGATGTATAGCAAATCTTAGAGATCTGAAACTTGGAAAGGTTTCCTCGGAAGCGTTCAGGGGATGGATCTATTCGATAAAATTGTATTTATGGTGCGATTTGTTTGGTATTTGGAATATATGTAAATAGCTTCTACTTAACTAGGCTAATGTACTTGAATATTACCTATTCAGAGTTTGATATGCTTGATGGTTGGAATAAAAAAATGTTATAAGTATTAGTCACACATTTTAACATAATAACTGATAGGCTATAATAAAATAGCAAACGTGAAAAAAAGATATATAATATATATATCACCGTTAAAAGCTAGTATGCAAACAACTTTTTTTTTCTTAAATTATTTTTATTGGTATAAAAAAGAGCGATTGACAGGCCATTGTAACGCAATACTAGTTAAACATAAATAAAAATTGTAAAAAAAAAATATCTCAGTTGCATCGTGTGCATACCGATAATATAGGCGCACATCTGTGAATATGGGTAACTTAGCGTACAAGTATTAGAGTATGTTTAAATCAGCCATATAATATACATACGTACTATGAGTATATACTTAACTATATAAATACTAATAAATAAATACGTGTATATTTATGTTTACTTGTTGTTGCAACAATGCATTTTACAATACAACATAATAATAGCATATAAAAAAAATAAAAATAAAGTCATTAGCTAGAAATAAGTAGGAAAATTCGAGCTAGAAATACATATTTAATCGCATTACTGCTTTTTAAGAATTTTAAATGCGCGTTAGCATATATTTATCATTATAGTTCTATGCTTCAGTAGTAAATGCAGTAAAAAAATGCATTTTTTTTTTTGAGTTTCTATTCAAATTTTTGATGTTAGTTTTTAGATATAATTTTTTCTTACAATAAAATCATTAATTTTTCTTAGCTATAAAATTATTTATGTATATCAATAATATTTATTTTTGTTTTTTTCTTTATTAATACAATTTATCGTTAATTATTTCGTATAAAAATGCATATTTCTGGTGTTTTGATTTTTAGTAGCTATTATATTTTTTTGTTTAAAATCTCATCTCATATAAAACTGGCAGTTGTGCAGTCTCCAACGATACTTGTGGTTTATTTGTCAGTATTTCCTGTTAGTAACTCTTTCATATACCGAGTTATATTTTGTTTATTGAGTGCGTTTTAAGTTTGTGAATTAGATGCAGAAGTTGCTTGAGATTAATTTTCTTATTAGATGATATAGAGAACTTTGACATTGAAGGAAACATTTTAATATTGAATGCTCATACGATTGTTTTAATTGAGTAGAGTTTAGTTAACAGGTTATAGTACTCAGCTTATTATAAATATACTCAGTTGCATACATACGCTTATCTGGGGTTTATATTTAGTTGTTCTCAACGAGTTTCTTTTGCAGAAATGTTACGTCTAAATAAAAGACCCCGATATTGCATGTGATGAACTGAGAATTAGAAGTCTTACGGCTATTTTTTTTTATTACGTGCTAAATATTAACTATGCTTATTAAATATTTCCAGAAGTTGATTAAGTGCGAGTTGACAGATTCAATATAGTTAGATTTCAAGTTAATAAATAAATTGAATTGAAATTCATAAAAGCAGCACAGAACTTGGAATTTGATGAATGTATCCAATAAGTACAAATAAAGAGCTAACTTAAAAAAAAAAAGAACTAATAGCCAAACTCAATAAAATTTTTTGGCAAGAGAAATATATATTTTTGTTAAGATAATGACAAAGAAGATACTGTCGAGCATAATTTTCATATTCATTACTATAGGCTTTCAGCTACAAATTAAAAAAATTATATATATATTATATATATGTATGTGTTAAAAATTATATAAACAAACTTTGTCAAATTCTTCATAATAATATCTTTCACACCATTATTAGAGCTACATTCATATCTTGTTTACAAAATTTATTTTAAAACCTTCACTAACTTACATACACCAAATTTGAGTTTCTTAAAATTAATAAAAGATTTTTCATTGCTATTATTTGGCTGCCATAGCTAATACTTCGGAAATACGATAGGAGTTTACTAAGTACAGCATTGATATTATTACTTACTTGATATGTGTGCGTGTCAATGTTTAGGAAAGACCGGGTATGCTGAGCAATTCGAAAACTTTTTGTGATGCCCTCGTACATATGCACAATTAGGATATGTACTAAGAAAAAGTCTATAACAGTTTACAATTGGGATTGTGGCGGCGCCTATACAAACACATGTAGATATGAGGATTGCGTTACATTACTGTGCGTTGGTGTTGGTGTCATATTGTTAGACGTTTGTTGTCATACAGATGTTTCTGAATTTAATTTCAGTACAAATTTATTACTTTTTGGATCGACCACCTCTTCGGCTATATTGAAATGCGGCAATTTATGTATGGAGACTAAGAGGGAAACATCGTTTTGTATCAATTGGAAAGTACATTCATTTGAGATGGGTCTTGAAACAAGCTCATCACAAATTAACGACCACGACTGTACCCAACGGCGTTCCTTTTCACTTTGCAATACTGGCGCTTCCGTTAGATATGGTTCGAGAAATGCCCGAGGTGATAGATCATGTTTAAGGCAATGTGCCAAATGTTTTAATATACTTTCGAAAGTGTGTCGTGGTTGTTGACGTGTGACTCGTAAATATTTTTGCAATGCACGCGCCATCGAAGGAAATACCGCTTGTGCTGCTTCTTGTGGATCGAGTGGTACAGCTGGTGCTGGTTCATTGTGTATGCGTTTTATGTGCGTAAATGCTTCTTCGGCTGCGGTGATAAGACGCGCACGTCGCTTTTTGACACGTCGTTCATATTCATGCTCTTCATAGAAACGTTCATTATGCGATGAATCGCGTCTGCGTGCATTGGCCGCCAATACGGCACGACTTTGGCTCTGTTGTTGAGCATTATTACCACCGTCTACATCGTAGTATTTAAAACTTGTTGAGATTTTGTTGCGCTGTGATTTTGAAATCGGTATACGTTCTAAGTAGGGATTAAAGATGGAAAAATCTACGTAGTATCGTTGTAATACCCAAACTGCTGCACGTTGTATACTCAATTGACCTAACATATAAGAGCGTGATATGCCATCAGGTGAACGAATAATCTTAACATAATACATGGGCTGTTGGTGGCGTAGTTCAAGTAAAACCACTGCTATATAATGTATAAATAGTAGTGTGTCTACCAAATTTGTTGCATAGGCAACCAATGACTTGTAATTTACTGCATCTCCGCCAGTCTCGACTACCACTTTCGCACCATTTGTGACCTGAAATACGAATAGCATATATTACAAAACATCTTAATTTTTATTTATTTCTGCTTACCTGCACCATATAGAAAAGCCAGTAAGCAAATGTGCATATAGTGACGAGTAATAATACAACGGCCCGATATAGAAATATCCTTGGCATGGTTGCAGCTGAACGACGCATAAAAAGAGCCCATAACCCAATTGCCAATAATAAGAGCCTGGCAGTTAATGAGACGAGCAGACCTTTACATTCGCTGCTGCAAGCCAAAAGTTGTGTGCGCACAGTTTGCGTCAGTTCGGCATGATCAAAGGCGGAAGGAAAAAAGCCCATGCGTGGCATTACTACCATGGCAACAGGTGAAAAGAATGAGACAAAACCAAGTAGTAGTGAAAAAGCTGATTCCAAACGACGTCGACAAGCAAAACCAAAACTGGTGTCGTTTTCTCTATGCCAGGCGTTATTAATATCTTCCATAGATATGCTCTGTTCAGACGTATTACCCGTGACTGCAGTGGTGTTCTCACCCCAATTTTCATCTTGAGGTAATATTTGCACCTCGATAATTTCTTGACCGTCACGGTTTTCTTCACCTATTAAAACATATTCATAAATTTTCATATGTAGAATCATTTAAATGCTTCTTAATACTTACCCGTCATGTTGATGCTGGTTTGGAACGGTGCCATATCACTACGTTGGTGTTTATTACTTGATTTTGTGTGTCCACTTCGGTGAGAATGTCGTGTTCGATCACGGTGATAACCGTTATTCACCGTGCCACCGCCGCTGTTACTACCCAGACCACTACCTCCACCGGCACTTGAACTATTATTATTATTATGATTGCGAGAACGTCGAGATCGTCCGCTGTGTTCTGACTTTACAGATTCGTTTTCCATCGCAAACACCGCCAATACAGCGGCCAAAATCGCACACTCACACGCACAAGTGGGCGTATACAAGCGCCCGATAGTTATACCGTCTCAGGATATTTCGTTTATTAATATTCAATATATGTTGTAGGTTAAATGATAATTTTATTAATTGTTAATTTTTTTAAGTATTAATTTCATTAAGACCAATACAACTTTCAACTGGTAAGAGCTTGGGTATGGGGGATGATAAAGAAAATTTGCAGACTTCTCGTTTTTGCCTGCGTCTTCGTTTCTTGACGTAGCACTACATCTCATTAAAAATTCCAATTAGCAATCATGGGTTAGTTGTCTAACTTATTTCACTTCACATTTCTAAGCAGGTGGTTTGTGCAATATTTTAAAAACAAATTGTACTAGTTTTAAGTTAAACACATATACTTGTTGGTATTTTTAAAAATTAAACAATTGGAATGGTGTTGAAAAATGCCATTAAAACGAAAAGCACAAAAAACACTCCTTCTTTTCGCTCAATTGAGTTTTCTTTCCACTCAGAAGCGTTGCTTTTTTGGTATCCTCCTTGCCTTTCTCCAAACGATGCCACTTTGAGAATTAACGATGTATTTTATATTTTATTGTATAGTCTGTGAGATCACGGAGAAAGGCCTTGTTTTGTAATTTAATTTTTTTTTTTGAATTCACAATAAAACTTTTTTTAAATATATATGAGAAATCTTTTTTATCAATTTGAAAGAAATAATTGTACTCACCACACAACAGAAAAAGTATGGTAGCATAAAAAAAAACAGCTGTTTTAATAATGTTTTTTTATTGCAGTAGATTTTATTGGCATTATATTTAATATTTTTCAATTGTTTACTACAAAAAAATGTCGAGTAAGGAGTCGAAAGCGGTTTTAAAAGAAGTTCGGGAAGCAATCAAAGGTGAAAAGTTTAAAGAAGCGATAGAAAAATGTGAGGTACGTAAACAGAGGGTCAGCAACAAGTAAAATCTCTCTTATTTAACTAAAATTATTTTACAACCAGGCATTGCTAAAGGATGAACCCAAGAATTACATGGCGTACCTGCTATTAGGCGCTGCTTACCAAAGTACCAACAAAACGGAGGTTTGTTCATTTATTTGGTATGATATCATAATATTCATTCATTTCTTATAGGCTGCCAAAAGTTTGCGTAAAGCCGTTGAATTTTCACCGACAGCACCGACTGTTGCGCTCCAGGGATTGGCGAATTGTGCACCGCTGAACGAGTTGCCAAAAATTTATGAACAACTAGTGGATTTAGTACCGTAAGTTCAAAGTAGTGGAAGAATGAGTCAGAAAATTTTTTGAAACTGATTTCAATCCAAGAGAAATCTGAATATTATTACTTTACGTTCTTCTGTAAGTTAAACTAAAAAAACTTAAAATTCAATATTTCTCGTCCCAAAAAACCTTTTGGAGAATGTTTTTGTACTATCGCAAGTATTTTAATTAATAATTTGCATATTTTTCAGCGAAAAGTACGGATATTATTTTGAGAAGCTGTACGCAGCTGGACTTAACAACAGGAATATAGCTGATGAATGCTTTAATATATTCAAACGAGAGTTAAAGCGAAATGCGCAAAATGAAGATCGACGTAAACTCGTCTTAAAATACTTGGCGCGAATTTGGGTCTCATTTGACTTTGATGTACCAACCGACGACGAAATTTTAGTAAGTGAAATTGTAATTTATTTGTGTATTTAATGGTGTGATGCTTCGGATTGCAGTACAAAAGCGGCTTAGAAGAAATACTTGCAGATTCATTTATTGATCAGCATCTCGATGCCAACAAGCGCTACCTAAAATTACTCTATAAGCAGGAAGATTATGCTAATTGCTTTACGCATGCATGCGAAGTAACCACAAAATACCCCAACGATATTTACGCATACGAGTGGGTGTGCAAAGTTTATTGCGAAGCACGTGAGGTGGCGAAAGCATGTTTAGAAAAAACTGACAAACCAATAGAACATTATGTTGAAACATTGCTTCAGATAAATCCTAAAGCTAGTTTAGGGCTACTTATTAAGGCAATTCAGCTCTTTGAAAATCAGCAATATGTGTCAGCACGAGATCTACTGTATCGTGTTCAAGAACTGCAACCGAAGTACAGAGTTGCTTTGGAATTATTGGCACGTACGGAAATGCTTATTGGTGTATGGGGCTTGGCATTACCACTATTGAAAATGATTGGAAATGATAATTCTGTTGAATATGCTATGTGCTTATCCCACCTGAGTAATAATGAAAAAGAGTTACAGGAAACGATTGAGTTACTGCAGAAATGTGATAAGAATGAGGAAATTACGGCGACAATGGCTAGGTGATGCAAATATTTTACCAAAAATTTTGTCTATGCCTTAAAGTATATGATTGTTATATGTTACAGATGTTATTTTAAATTAGGTGATAAAGCTAAACTGCGAGAAATGAATTTAAGTATCTGCCAACAAGCTGTGTTTCTTATGTAAGAGAAATACTTTCCTCTTTACTGATGCTTATTAAAGTTTGTACATTTTCAGGACTCCAGAAGCTGCTATAAATGCTTTACAAACATCCAGTGATAAAGACTCCTTTGAAGTTCTTTTTTTACTCTCTAAATTGTATTTACAATTAACCAATTATGCTGCCGCTTTGAATTGCATGCTCAAAGCAACGCGCTTGCAACCCCACAGTTCGGAATGCTTTCATTATCTTGGAAAAATCTATTACGACACTAAGGATATTGTGCGAGCACGTAAATGTTTTGAAAAATGTGTCAATTTAAACCCGTTATGTGAGAGCGCAGTGAATAATTTAAGTGCTATTTACCAGCAATTAGGAGAAGAGGTAAATTGTAACAAATTAAACTATTTCGCATTAGTTAAATTTACGTCATAAAATTATATAATTTCATTACGCAGGAACTAAATGAGGCCTTATTGCTTAACACACTTAAATATATGAAATCCGAGGATTCAAAGCGCATACATTATAAGTTGGGTTTACACTATTTTAATGTCAACAAGTGGGACGATGTAAGTAATTGTTTTTAACATTGCTTAACACATGATGAAATCATAAAACCTATATGTATAATTTAAGGCCATACAATCCTTTCGCACAGCAATAAAACTTGATGTAAATTGCATGAATTACTGGGAATCTCTTGGTGATGCTTATTCCGAGCGTGGCTCTTATAACTCTGCTATACGAGTATTTCAGAAAATACTTGAAATGAATCCTACCAATATTTATGCCAAATTGAAAATCGCGCTGATTAAATCGGTACGTGAAAGCACATACTTATACTATTTCTACGGAATCATTAACTTTATTTCATTCGTACAGACCATTCGCATGTATCCTGAAGCTATAGTCGATTTTGACGAACTTTTAAGTACTCATCAGGATTATTTACCTGGTTTGAAAGGGGCTGCTGAAGCACATATTGGTTTGGCAAATAATCTGAAGCAGGAGCATCTCTATGGACGCTGTAAGGAGCATTTACAGTTGGCAATGAATTATTTGGAACGGTATTTACTAAATACATTTCTTTTATTTAAAAAAAAAATCATTTTCTAAATTTGCTTCACTTGTTGTTTCTAAACTTAGAACATTTTTGTCGTTAAACGATCACAATATGTTCTGGTTATGGCGTCTCACAGCCAATGTGTTTGTACAAACAGCTTGCATGCCAAGCTCACTGGCATATTTGGAAGTATCGGGCCAGCTGGCAAAGTTGGAGGAGAAAACAGCGCTTTTGTCGCGAAAAGACTTATTTATTTTAGCTTCAAGGTTTGTGGTAACATTTTGAATCAATACTTACCTATATTTTCATCTAATGCACTTATACTAAACACTTTTGTTCTCTTAGATTTTATACATGCGCCATAAAGCTGAAACCTAATTCATTCATTTGGTATGAATTTGCTTTATGCTCGTACTATTGCGCGTTACATTTCCCCGATGAGGCGTTATCGCATTTGGATATGGCAACCAAGGCGTGTAAAATGGCGATAAACGAGCAAAGTGGTCGTTGGCAAAACTGGAATTTGCTGGGAGTAATAAATTTGCATCAAGGTACTGTGTTAAACAATTTTTTTTTTATTTATTCATTATTTCTTACATTTGCTTCTGTATTTGCAGCAATTAATAAGTTACCTTTGGCACAACATTGTTTTATTCAGGCGCTGAACCTCGAACGTAAATCCTATACATCTTGGACAAATCTCGGCGTGCTATATTTGAAGCTCGATGAAATAAAACTTGCCAATCAGGCCTTTCAACGAGCACAGCAGTCTAGTCCTATATATGGAAATGCCTGGATTGGCCAGGCTATGATTGCTGAAGCTATTGGCGAAGAGGCAGAAGCTCTGGATCTCTTCAGACATTGTCAACAATTTGAATACCACCCCGAATCCTCGCTGGGATATGCGTACTGGGTGTGCATAGTATTGACGGATGAAGAAAAATGCAAAATGCCACATTACCGTCATGCTATTGATAGTATGTTCGCGGATATAGTGTCGCTAGATGCAATTAATTGGTAATTAGTAGAAATAATAATCACATTTCATAGAGATTTTAATTTCTAGTTGATTCCAAAAACAATATTTGCATAGGCATATTAAAAATGAAGAGAAAGAGGCCACACAAGCTGCACTCTCATTCCAAGGGTTTTTAAATATACGACAAAAACACTATCATCTGGCCGAACGAGCCTACCAACAAGCTGTTGAGAGCACCACTGCTGGTGAAGAGCGCGATAAGCTGCTAATTAATTTGGGTTATCTTTATTTAAAAATTAATCGGCCTAGTGAAGCAATTAATTGTTTTAATCGCGTAACGCACGCTTCATTCAAAGCGATAATCGGTTTGGCTCTCGCCTTCGTGCGTGCAGATCAACATCAAGAAGCGTATTCTGTGTATAATTCTGTATTGAAAAGTTTGACTGATGAAAACGAGGATAAAGCGGGCATGATATTGGTAGCAATGGCAGCAATGGTATACGGCTCCCAAGGTGAAGCGGACACTAAAACTATTTTATATCAATGGTAGAGAAATCAATTCATATAAATATTTATTTAAGCGTTCATTTATACTATTTTTTATTTTAGCATTTTACTCAAGAATTCTCCTATACAGGCTCTATATTCGGCCTGTGCATTAGGAATTCTACATTTGGATAATCAGTTAACAACAACCATTCTGACGGAGTTAAAGAAGTACGAAAACATTGAAGTACACTGTGCTCATATTGCTTATTTGACGGCACAACATTACGCAGCTATAGTAAGTTATAATTTAATTAATTTTCACGAATTTTCGCATTTATTTTTGTTTTATTATATGCTAATAGAATACTTTTTTCTCAGAATAAAACACGCAAGGGTCTAACGTACCTCCTATCTCGTGTACACGTCTTCCCACATTGCGCTGAGCTACGAAAGATTCTGGCTAATTATCTACTGGACCATTTTAGCCATGCATCCCAATATCACGTGGCCACAAGTCAAATTGCTATGAGTTCAATTGAATTGCTGCATCGTAATAAAACGAAAAAGTACGTTCAAATGCAAAATTACAGAACTTGTATATCATTATCGTAAATATTTTAATTCTATTAATTTTAGGAGCGATTGCATTGAGGATTCCAAATCGTTGTTAATTGCCAGCCGAGCATTACGACCGATAAATAAAATACGTTCACTAAAATTGATACAACATGCTATACGTTTACATCCTCAAAATGAGAACGCTTGGCGCGCGTTGCAGGAAGTTCATTGACCTGTGTATTTAAAAACATTTTAATAAGAATTCAAGAGATAATTATTAATATTCAAGTATATAATTTAATTAAATACATTTTTTTAATATGAGAAATACTATTTTATTCAAAATAGAGAACTTTGAATTTGTCAATTGTTATCATATTTAGGTTAGAGCGAGTAAAACTAATTTAGAAGTGGAATATATTATGCCTGTACTCCTTTTCATATGCAACTCCGTCCTCTTATCAAAGTCGTAATAAATATAAGTAACTTTTTGAAAAATATTTAAATATCGCTGGCACATACTCGTATATTGTTTTTATTGCTTAATGTAACCACTATTACTACAAATGGTTGGAACTTTTTGAAGTTTATAATGAAATATTTTTATGGCCACCAGTATTTAAAGTTCCAACACACAAATAAAAAATTAAAAATTTTGTAAAAATTGCTTCAAACTAAGCTATTTATTACGAAGATTCCTTTAAATTAGTTGATAAGAAAAATAATGCTACATTTTTTTAAATAATATCGTAATAATTAGGTTCAATTATATTTCTATTGATCAAAAATATAATACAAAACATTAACTAACTTTTAACACCAATATTTACAAAAGACATTGTTACAAAGCTGTTCGCTTAGTTACGCATGCTTCGTCATATTATTTTCCAAAGCATTTTGAAAACGCTGATAAAGTTGCTGTGCACCCTGCTCATTGATCTCTTCATATCCCGGCAAATCGTCACGCATTCGTTGCATCCAAGCGCATATTCTCGGGTATCTACATCGTATTTACAAAATTGAACATAAAATCGAAAGAAGTTTTTAGATTTGCTTACCGCCTTTCTTCTATGGGCACCAGCTTATGAAGTGTAATCAATGTAGTGTTAATGGAAATATCTGCTAAACTTAGTTGCTCGCCGGCTACGTAGCTGCTCCGAGACAGGAATTCCTCAAGAAAACTGTAGGCATTATGTGAGAGCTCAATGCTTTTTCGGTGATACTCTATGTCCTCCCCATGCAATATGCGTGCCTAATTGAAGGGGGGAAAATGCTATTAGATAACATAAATTTCGTTAAAAACATCTATTTTACCACAAAGTCTTTAATCACTTGAAAAAGTACACCATCCTCATAATAGAGACGCTCATCAACTACAGCACGTTTAAGGAAGTCTTTTGGGTACAAATGTTCATGTTGACTCTGTCCATATTGATTGACCATATAAGTTATAATTGCATGACTGTCGCAGAGAGCTGCGCCTTGATCGACTAGTACAGGCACAGTATGACGTGGATTTACCTGCATAGTTGGTAAAATACTTTTACTTTGTGATAATCTAAATTTTAAAGTCTTAAAAAATCTCAAACAAACCTTTAAGAACCAATCGCTATGATGTTCCTGTGTTGCATAGTTGATAGCTCTGTAAATGGAAGAATTAAGCAATAATAAGTAAATGAAAATTCAATTTCGAATTCCAATTAAACATCGACCTTTACTTTGGGGCAATTGGTAATTAGAATTTTGCTTAAGAATTTCAATTCAATTTCATTTCGTAATTCTTTCCGTTAGGACTCAGAAATTAAAGTATTTATTTCAAATTTTGTGCAACTATTTATATGTCAAGGACTCGTAATAAATACCAAGGGTTTTTGGTGATTTGGCTTTTCATACGAGCAGAGCATATGTATTTTTAATGGCATATTACACCCCAGATCGATTTATGTACGTACTTTCCGAGATCCTAACATCAACTCGGATCACTACTTGTCGCAGAGAAGATACGCACGCGAAAAATGAAACACCCGGAGATGGTGAACCCGAAACTCGAATTGTTGACGATGGAAAAGCTGTTCCGTTATCTAACTATGACGAAGTTCAAGTAGCTGAAGAGCTGATTTTCATGCACTTGATCAGCTTCTTTGCAAAATATTCATGGGTTAAAGCAGGTTCGATGATTGGAATTTAAGTGTGTTATATCCAAATCCATAAAAAAGGGAAGTAGGGAACAGTCTGCCCCAATTATCGTGGGATAAGCCTCCATCAGACACTTTGGAGCGTATTGTGTGAAAGACTAAAGCCCACCGGCTTTAGACCTGGTAAGTAAACCGCTGACCAGATGTTCACCATGCGCTAAATCTTGGATCGACACACAACACCTTTTCTTCGATTTTAAAGCAGCCTTCAACATGTCTGACTATGTCTGACTTTGGTAACACCGCAAAACTTATATTGCTGTGTATACTGACACTAAAAAACACCAGAAGCGTAGTCAGAATTGGGAAGGACCTCTCCGAGTCGTTCTGTCTGGGTGACTCTTTATCGTGCAGTTTCTTCAATTTGATGCTGGAAAGAATTATAAAAGCTGAATAGTACAATCTTATAAAAGGGTGTACAAATATTAGCCAATAATAACGTCAGTTTTGAAATCCAACGCAGAATCCCTCTTGCCAACAGGCGCTACTTTGGACTGAGTAGGCCATTGAAAAGTAAAGTTCTCTCTCGACGAACGAACGAACCAAATTCTGCAAGTCGTTCATCATACTCGTCCTACTATATGACGCAGAAGCGGAGACGATGCCTGCGGCTGCGCTGGCTAGGTCTTATAGTCCGGATGGATGAGAATGCTTCAGCTTTCAAAGTTTTCTATGCAGTATCCGCTGGTGGAAGGAGAGGAAGATCTCCACTTCGTTCGAAATATCATGTGGAGAGTGACCTGACTTCACTTGCTATTTCCAACTGGCGACAAACAGCGAAAAGAAGAGATGAATGGCGCGCCAATGAAGAATAATTCACTGCCACATATTCTGTAATCTGTTCAATTTATGTATCAATTTTATAATAGGTATTGTAGTGTAGTTGCCAGGTACAGGTTGTTGAACAGACCGTCCAATGTACAGGACTTGCATATTACTGATCTGTTGTTTGCTTCCGCCGTTTTTTTTTTTGCCAAAATTAAAAGCTTTATTGCGAAAAAGTGCTTACAGATATATTATTCAAAGTATTGTCCTTCGCTAGCGACAGCTTTCTCCCATCTTTCCGACAATTTTCCGAACCCGGTTCGAAAAAAGGTGTCCTCTTTTGACGCTATCCATGAAGCAATCCATTTTTCCGATTCTTCGAAGAATTGAAAATGTTGATCTGCCATTCCGTGTGTCATCGAACGGAATAGGTGGAAGTCAGAAGGGGCGACATCTGGGGAATACGGCGGGTGGGGCAAGACTTCCCATTTCAGCGTTTACAGGTACTTTTTGACTACTTTTGCGACGTGATGCCGAGCATTGTCGTGTTGGAGGATGACTTTGTCATGTCGCTCTTGATATTGTGGCCGCTTTTCTTTTAGCGCGCGACTAAGGCGCATCAGTTGCATTCGGTAGCGATCTCCTGTGATGGTTTCACTCAATTTTAAGAGCTCGTAGTAAATCACACTGAGCTGATCCCACCAAATACAAATCATAACCTTGGCGCTGTGAATATTCGTTGAAACCACTCCCGACACGTTCTTTCACTCAGAGCAGCATCACCGTAAGTTTCTGAGAGCATTCGATGCGCTTCAGCTGCATTTTTTTCGAATTGTAACAGAAAAGTAAAACTTCCCGAAAATGGCGAGAATTGCACATAAACGGACATTTTCGAGCGTGAATAATACGAAAACAGGAACAACTGTCACTGAAACGGCGATGACAATTCGTTAGGCACTGTCCACACTCACTCTAAAGGCATTATCATCTATGTATTTCAACCAGCCTCAGCCGGTACAGCCACCTATCGGAAAACGGCGGAAGCAAAGTTGTACACATATATAAATGGCGCTTTGTACTCCGGGAATCTGTGGTGGGCCCCTTAATGTTTTTCTAACAAATCGAGGGACTAAGTATATTAATGTCATTCTCTGCCTTTACATATAAGAACTTCAGCCCCTGCGTATACTTAACAAAGAATTTGATAAGAATGCTTTTCAATTATGTTAGGAATGTGAGAAAATAAAATGATGTTAATTATATTATATATATATGTATGTCATTCACAAGACTCTTTTTCTCGCTAATGTCGTCTTTCAAAGTAGAGAGAAAAGCCAATAAAATGATTGCACTAAAAATAAGAATGAAGATAACAGAATATATGAGGTAATAGAGAAATTTGTGCAAAAATCTGATGGAACTGAGGGCTACCGGAATACATGCATATATACTATAGTATTTATATTACAGCTCTAGGTATCGAACACTGTGAATTCTGGGGGAAAAAGTCAAATTTTTTATTACACTTTCTCGAAAAAGCTCGAATTGCTCGAGCTGAAGTTCGAAAATTTTCGAGCAATGACCAATGAACGAGTGTGCGAGTACTCGTTGCTCAAATGCTCGAACAGCTCGCATATGTTCGAACAAAATCTTGAGCTCTAATTTATATTCGACGAAGGAACAATTTTTAGCACCAAAAATAACTATGCGTTTTTATTTAGTTGTTTAAGTGTTGATAAGATATTGTTATTATTAAGTACTATTTTTTTTATAACCACTTGTGTATTTGTTACAGTTTTTTCAAACTTATCTCTTATCTTTTCTTAATAATCAAACTCAAAACTCGGAATTATTTATACTGATGCAAAATTAATACTTTTTAATTTGGTAAAAAATGCAATGATATGAAGCTAATTTATTTTTAATGATATTAACTAAATTAAAATCTAACGCAGAATCACTCTTGCCAACAGGTGCTACTTTGGACTGAGTAGGCGAACGAAAGCCAAACTCTACAAGTCGCTCATCATACCCGTCCTACTATATGACGCAAAAGGGAGTCTTCGAGAGAAAAGCTTTGCGACCGATTTGTGTTCCTTTGCGCATTGGTAACGTTGAATACCGTAGACGATGGAACGATAGGCTGTACGAGCTATACGACGATATTGACATAGTTCAAAGAATGAAGAGACAGCGGCTATGCTGGCTAGGTCATGTCGTCCGAATGGATGAAAGCACTTCAGCTTTGAAAGTAATCGATGCAGTACCCGTTGGTAGAAAGCAGAGGAAGAAGAAGACCTCCACCACTCCATTGGAAGGATCAGGAGGAAGGTGACCTGGCTCCACTTGGTATTTCCAACTGGCGCCTAACAGCGAAAAGAAGAGCGGAATAGCGCGCTAAGATTGATTCGGCTACAATCGCGTAAGCGGTGCCAACGCCAATAAAGCAGAAGAAGAACTAAACTGACATCGACATCGTCATAATTTTACAGTCGATATTGTGTCAACGTCGACAATATTTCGACTCGAAATTGCTACTGCGAATATATTATATATGGAGGCGATGTTGACAGTATTGTTCAAGTGCGTACCAGTGGTGTTGTGAGTTTGAAAATTGTCGTACGTCTGTCCATGAATAGCGGAGCGGAAGACTTTGACAATTGTAACGGAAGAAATGTGTGAAAAATATTAAATGCGCTTCGCGACGACCGCATATTAATTGGTTTTGCGACGTTTCCGCAAATTTTTAGATCTCTACTACACGAAATAATCATAGAAACTCTCGGATATCGAATATACTGTTCGGTAAGAGTAGACGCAGGCGTTGGCTTGAAATTACTTCGATAAACGTATACAAAAATTGATACCCCGCTTCATCACGTATTATATTCATATCGTTAAAAGTTAGTCAATTCGACTACAGATTTGGCCTCCTGTGAAATTTTCTTGGTCATAAGTGGAAACAAACATAACAAAAAGTGTATACATTGAAATTGAGGATGTAATTTTAGGCCACTGCAGCGTCCTCCAAGCGGTACCCCTTGTAATGTAATACAGCCGTGGTCTGGGCGCTTGGACACAGTGACAATTGCATGGTAGACGAACTAGTGAGGAAAGGAAACCTTCTATCCCCGATAAAACGTGCACAATATGCTGCTTTGCCTCTGTTCACGGCAAAGTATATGCTTAAGCTGGCCTTTGCCAGGGTAGCAAACTGAACATGGCTGAACGAGATCACGTGCAACGTGACCAGATAGAGAAATTGGACGCGAAAAGTTTAACATAACAACATGCATAATAACAGACCATTGATTAATGGGACTTCACGGCATAAGAACGGGATATCACTCTTCTGTGGAGACGAAGTGGAAGAGGTGTTTATCGAGCACTTCTGTCACTGCCTATGGCTAGTCTTGACATCTTCGTCACACAAATTCTTCGTAAAACACTTCTACGACTGCCTCACCGAGCTAAGATCAGTGAAAATTAGAAATCTCGACACGTCTCGTCTTTTTAAGGCACACGAAACCATTCGATCATTTGAAAAGGTGAAGACAGGAGCCTCACAGCGGTAACACAATGGGCATAAGGTCGCCAGTTTATATACCGTCGTTATCAGAATATTTTATTAGAATAATAATTTTCAAAAATTTAATTTATAATTTATATCATATCAAGTTGTAGCTTACATTTAAGAAGAGATGGGCTGCAATAAATTTATACAAACGAATTTAATTTTTGAATATTTTAATGAAGGTGGATTTGATAGTAAAAATTAAAAGATTATAGTTTTGATTTCAGCTCTAAAATATCGCCGGTCATTCTTACTGTTAAGCTAAGATAAGTCGTAACATATTAGATGTACCGGAAGGTGTATCTAGAATGGCAATTTAAAGCTTATTAAGTGAAGAATTTCATTTACATTGAAGAGATTTTTGTGTAAATCAACTCTCAATTCATTTTAAATAGAAATAAATATTTTTTTTTTTGCATTTTGATAAAAAAGAAGTATAGAAACAGACTTTACGTTGGTTATGAATTTCCTACTGGGTATACATATTCGCTGATTAGATGATTTTCTCTTGCCAATACCAATGTATTCAATCTTTTAATCAATCTCACCAAAGCAATCAGATCGCTAGTCATGTTTTATGACGTTCAAATCAGTTATTTTTATAATTATACACACACACATACACACCCACAAACAAGAAAGTAGCTAAATATGCGCACTCTAAATTAGAATAAATCACTTTTGGAGATAATGAATACTCAGGATAAGAGTTTCTTGTCAATTTTGGCTGTGGGAGATTGTATGTAACTCGTTCTCAATGAGATATTTAACTTCTTGACATATTCTTCAAACAACCTTGTATGGCTTTGATGAAGTCTTATAGGGCACGCAATCATTCATTAATTGATTTTCGAAAGCACTTTTATTTTCCGAATACTTCTTCATATTTTTCATATTTTCTTTTTTTCTTTGTATTTCTTAGACCTGAAGTGTACGCCCTTTTTTGACTTTGACCATGAAATAAAGTCAAGCAGCAACGATATGCGGGCAAATAGCATACACATGGAAACACTCTGTTTTGTTATAATCATCAGCACAGCACACACAAGCACATACGAGGTGTGTTCAAAATATAGCGCGAATTTTGTGTTTTTTCAAAAATTTTTTATTTCTGCGAAACACTTCAAAAATTCATTTTTTTTTATCGTGTTCAGCTCCTCTTTCAATGCCGTCTTTATCTCGTCAATCGTAGTGTACCGTCGTCCTTTCATGGGCCTCTTCAGTTTAGGGAACAAGAAAAAGTCACAGGGGGCAGATCTGGGGAATACGGTGGCTGCGGAATCATTATTGTGTTGTTTTTGGCCAAAAAATCGCGCACAAGCAACGATGTGTTAGCGGGGGCGTTATCGTGGTGCAAAAGCCAATTTTTATTATTATTCCTTATTGACCGTTCTACCCTGTGGCGAGAACTCATAATGCACCACCCCCCGGCAATTAATTTTTTCGTCTGTTGTTGAAGTGCTCGGGCGTCCGGTACGCTCTTCGTCGTCACATCGTCTCGGCCTTCTGAGAACATTTTGTACCACCGATGAACGTTGCTTCGGTCCAAGGTAGCTTCTCGGTATGCCACAGTCAACATTCGGAATGCTTCCGCGCACTTAATTTCGTTTTTCACACAAAATTTGATACAGATTCTTTGATCCATTTTTTTGAATACGTCAACAATTAAGTGAACATTCAAAATGGCCGAGCTTGTCGGCATAAGTGACAGACATGAGTACCAACATAACGACACAAAAAAATCGAAATTCGATTATACGTAACCCGCGAAAATTCAAAAGTCGCGATACTTTTTGAACACACCTCGTACATAAATAAAATAGTTTATATATGTATTTATGCACAAAATAATTTATACACATAGGCATACATATATATATATATATATATATGTATGTATTTAAACGCGCGTATTTTTGTGTGTTTCTTTTCTTCAACACTCACTTCAATTCCACATTTAGTCCAATTAATTTGGACGTCAGCAATGCCGCTCTGGCGGGGGGACTGAAAAGCGCATAATACAAAATTGGACGCGCTGACATATTGATATTTCGAGTTGGTAAAGTAAAAAGATTTTTACGCGATTTGCTTGCTGGTGGCGCTGTGTCCAGCCAGCCAACGAGTGTGCTACTAAACGCTCAACAAATGACTAGACGATTGATAACGCTCTTGCTCGCTGCTGTGGTGGGTGATCGCAACACGCTCCAAAAATGCTACTTAAAGAGCTATATTAATGTGAATAAACATTTGTTATAAGTCTCTGCCTTTGTTGTTAAGAGCATTAATGACATAGTAGTGTGGAGAGGCGCACTTGAATGTGAGAAACAACGGTACGCTGGTGTAGTGAGGGTGTAGTGAGGATGAAGTGGTTAGAGTAATATTACAATGAATGTATACATATATACATAGTAGTGAAAGAAAGTAATTTTGCTAATTATCTCGAAATTCATATAATAATATGAAGCAATTTTTTGACCGAAATATATTTTCTTCACTTTTAATGCAAAAGATATACACTGTGCTTGAAGGAAATTTTTTCTATACTTCTAATATAGCAATGGCGTTAGCCATGGTTCAAAATATTCGCCAATTTGTATTTTTTGGTCTATTACAAAAATCAGTATTTTCTCAATCAAAAAGCTTCGGATTCACTTGAAACTCACTGAGCCGGAGTTTTTGGAGTCGCTGATTACAATTCAAATATTCTTTCTTCAAAATTCAATTTAAAATCTATCAAAATCAATTGAAACTCAATAGTCGGCAGGTTTTTGAAATCTGGTATTGGTTTTTCAAAATTCAAAATGGCAGATCCAATATAGCGGTTAAATTTTTTAAATCTATCAAAATCAATTGAAACTCAATACTAGGCAGGTTTTTGAAATCGCTGCCGTTATCTGTGAATATGTTATTGTTTTAAGAAAATTCAAAATTTTTGTTTAAAATTCATCAATATCATTAGAAACTCAAAACACTCAGATTTTTGGGATCGCAGATGACAAATATGAAAACAAATTAAAAATGATGGATTCAATGGTGTGGATGAATTTAAAAAAATGTAAAATTAATGTTGAAACATTTGAATTATATGAACAATATTGGTGGCTCATTCTAGAGGCTTGCAGCTGGATTATAACAAAAATATGTACTTCATTTACTTATACCCGTTTCGCGGTGAAATTATCTAATTCCGGTCGCCCCTCGATAGGGAATGTCAACCCCTCCGAGTATATTTCTGACATGGAGATCAAAAGTTTCTTATAAAAAAAGCATCAGCCGGTAGGTCACTCCATTTGTTGGAAAAATATTAAGACGCATACCACAAATTGTAGGAGAAGCTCGGCCGAAAACTGCTTCAGCGGTTACAAAGCGCCAATTTCAGTTACGAGGGGCGACTGATAAGGTCGCGGCCTAAAGTACTTTACACCTTTTATTTTACCTAGAGTAAACTACAATTTTCACGTCTTTAATGTCTTTATAATATTAAAAAAGTATTCGTTAGATGTATCTTCAAAATGGCTTTCTTCTCACTGACATCTGAAAGTCTTCGCCCCCGTAACGCCTTTTTTACATTTGAAAAAAGGGAAAAAGTCATTGAGGGCCAGGTCCGAAGCTCTAACTTGCCACGTCTCTTCTGTACGATGGCCTCATGCCCTTGACTCAACAAATTAGCATAGTAATGGATGTTCGTTGTAGTTCTCTTCGGTAAGTAATCAATTAATAATATATATTTATTATATTCTTTCATATTCAAATGTTCAAGCAATATCTCTTCAGCTCGTTCTTTGCTAATCTGTAATCTTTTGCTGCCTGCCACAAGTTATTTCTTCGATCAGCCAGCACTAATTTTTCGACTCTCTGAACATTTTCTTCGCTCACGACCATTACTGGGCGGTGGTCATCTTTGCATTATTCTCTGTCTTGTTGAAACCATCGTATATGAAGGGGGTTTCCAACAAAAGGGGCGATCTACAGTTTATTCAAGAGCTCTTATTCCATGTCAGAAACACATTCGGTGAGCTTGACATTCTCTGCTGATGGACGGCCGCAATTAGAAAAGTTAACTTATTTTGTTTAAAATTTTTTTTTTTTATAATTTTTAGATGTCGGTTGAACCAGGACTCGAGCCCTGGTCTTCAGAATTGCAAATCGCAACACTAACCACTCGGCTATTGCGGCCAGAGTGAGGAAGTTAGAATTCGGAAAGACAACATTATGGAGAAGAAGGAATGCATTGTTGTATTGCTTCTTTACAGGATGAAAGCTATATGATATATTGATCCGATCTAGCTGGTTCTGTCCAATGATCAATTCAGTATAAAAATACATGCCAGATTTGATTGAAATATCTCAAAAACTGAAGGACTGAGTCCAAACAGATGGCCTGATGGGCGTTTTTAAATCATCTTAACCCGTCGTTTTGATCCGATCGGTATGAGTTTGGTGGGTCATATCTCTTCTCGTTCTGCTACATACTTCGGACCACAGTGAATACAAAATTTTACTTTTATCCCATACTTTTGACTTTCCACTTCATTAATCGACAGCGTTCAACCAAACGTGGTATGGATGCTGCATTTATTGTGGATTAAAGTCCTATCAGAAATGTTTGAAATGGATCCAGATATAGATCTGCTTGCCATATATTCTCTTAGCCATTTCGCGAAAATTTGTGATACCACGTGGAGCCAGGTCGTTCCCCAATTAATCATTCCAACAGAGTAGAGATCTTACACTTCGTCTGTTTCCACCGACGGGTACTACGTCGAAATATTTCAAAGCTAGATTGTTTTTATCCTTAAGGATGATTTGACTTAGCCAACAGTGAACTATTTCAATTTTGTCGTAATGTCATACAGTCCTTCGTCAGTTCGTCTGGAATATTCGCCGTTGCCAAGCATCAGCTGTCGTCATCATCCATGTCTTCGCAACAAATAGCTGGACGAGAATGATGGGCGACATGGAAACTATAATTTGTATACTTAGCGCTGCTCTGAAAGTAGCCAAATTAGTAGTATGTGACGATCCTTCTTTTTGTATGTGATTTCACATGTTTATTCCGTGATAATTGGCGCAAGTGATGGAGCCTCTCTTTGTTACTTTTTCAGCTTTAAATGTCGTCCCTGAATTTCCTTATGCCGAAATGCTGTTGAGTACTCTTAGAGGGCAGGATTGGCGGTCGAATAGAAAACCCTTCAGCTTTTCGACGTCGAGCCCTCCTTGTGTTTGTTGACGTACGTTTTTATTGCAGGTGCGAAGCTTAACGTTTGTACGGCTACATGTTGACCATCCATCACGACTTTTGATCGGTTTGGTTGCATGATTTTAAATCCGGCGACAGCCATGTACTTAATGAATTTTATTATGTGGAAATTTGTTACTAAAGATTATCATATTTCCAGCCCCAGCGAAGTTGAAGTCGCCAATCACAATTTCGCCTTCGTGGCAGGTTCAGCGCTCATAAGTACACGTCAGCGGTCATAAAATGCATTTTGGTCATATCGTCTTTTTTTTCGTCGGGGCGTAGGCGTCTGCTTTGGACGGCGATCACTTCGGCTTGTAGTCTTAGGAGGATATCAACTAGCTGTCCAGCACCACCTTCCCAGGTGACTTAGCGCACAACCTCGTCAGGCGAGTAGGTTTGAATTTGATACAAAGCTGTGTGGGGGTTTTCAATGAGGCAAAAAATTTTTCGGATTCAGTCAATTGTTACTTGAATTATACCCAGTTTGGTTTGCGATTTCATAATGAACAGACTTACTTATTACGCGACTTATCGCGCCCTACTCCCAATGTCCGATTGACATTATCACCTTGCAGAGTCGGCAATTCGAGCAAATGTAAACTAATTTAGCATCAATTATACTTTAGCGGATAATCCGCAACTTGAGAGATGCTGTACTGCGCACCGACGACGCCTGCTGTGAAGCAGAGTTTCGGGAATCATCTGTCATCGCGCACAACAATTGAAACTGTGCCCATGGAAGATCTTGCATAAGGATCTTGGCTGAACGACCTTCAAGCGCGCCGCACGTTCACTGAATTTCCCAATACGAGATCATTTCCCAATATGTACAAGAAATTTTTGTTCAGCGATGAAGCTCAGTTTTGGTTTAATGGGTGCGTTAATCATCTAAATTGCCGCATTTTGAGAAGCTAATCCACAACGCATTGTTGCGATGGTGTTGCAAACTCCAAAATTCATTGTTTGTTGTGTTCTACGGGCATAGGGAATGAATCACTTTTGCATAATTCTTCAAAAATGAAGTCGGCCATATTGTTACAGCACATGCAGCGAGTAATGACTTTTTCGGACCCGAATAGCAGGATATTGATGTGAGCGACCTTTGGTTTCATTTAGGCGGCGCTATATGGCATACAGCCAACGAAACAGTCAAGGAAACTGAAGGAAACTTTTGGTTAGCGCATTATCTCGACAGTGGGTGGCTTCCATGATCGTGCGATAGAGTACCACTGCACTTTCTTTTGTGGGGTTATGTGCAGTCGTTTGCCTATGCAGATAAGCCCAAGACGATTGAAGCATTGGAAGAGAATATTCCGTGTGTTATTGCTGACATACGGCCCAAAATTTTTACAAATGGTGGTGGAATATTGGGTTCTTCGGCTGGAATTTAATTGAGCCAGCCCGAAATCATTTTTAAATCATAATGCCAAACACTTTATAGTCCTTATAAAAAAACTAAATGAAATATGCATTTTATTTCTTCTTGAAAAGCACGTGTCTAAAAAACACCCTTTTCACATGAATTTTTCCATATTTTTCAAGAGGGGTAATTCCACTTTTCATTGATATATTTCTTTAGTTTAATATATATTTTTGAATACTTCAATCTAAAGTAGAAAGCATTTTAGTTAAAACAAATAAATATTTAAATTAACTGTTAGATTTATTGCATTTTGAATTTCAGCGTGAGCAGAATACTCGCGGCAATTGTCAAATAACGTAAGCCTTACAGTGGCTGACAAACTGTTTTCATCTTTATAATCACACGGTGCACATATACGCAAATACATATAGGAATATATGTATTATTATTTACACTCTTTCATTGATTTATTTTTGTGAAAGCAACGAGAGAACTGGGAACAGCGAACAGTCAGCAGCCAACAGCTGTTTTCTATTTATTTCGTCTACTTAGTCTCTCCGTGGAAGCTGTACAAATAAATACTGATATTTCCATTTAGCTGAATCTAGAAAGTGCTCTAACTCAACTTCAAAACAAGTGCATACATGCACACATACGTGATGTCTAAACCAGCATTATATTATTCATTATTTAGTCCACCAGCGCGAGCTTGTATTTTAACGGCCAAATTGATTGGACTCGAATTGGATTTAAAGTAAGTTTTCGTGGAAAATTAAAAGATGCGACATTATATTTTTATACTCATATGTGCATATATATATATATATAGATACATATATATATATATAAATGTTTCATAATTACATTTGAAAAACAAATAATTTATATTTTGTAAAGATTGGTGGATTTTGCATCGAAGCAGCATCTCACACCAGAATATTTGGCGGTAAGTTGCAACAGTGTTATTTATTGTATTGTATATCAGAGCAGATTAGTTATGTAAAAAGTTTTATTTTTCACTACCATATTTCCTGCAGTTAAATCCTCAGCATCAGATACCGGTGTTTGTGGAGGCGGACAATGAGATTTTTATTGACAGGTATGTGTAAGTGGGTGAAGGGAATAACTAATGTAGGCATGTCTATATGTGCATACGTGCTAGAAAGATAAACAAATACATATTTACATACAACGGTACATAAGCTTGCCCACATACATTTTTATTTTTTTTTTGTTATTTTCTGAAATTTCCTTTTCTTTTACGTGACTTTTTGAATATTTTAAAATAAAAATATCGTTTTTCCAAAATACGCAGAATTTATGGGCAAAATGCCCAAGTATTTACCTAAAAAAGTATATGCCTACTCGTACATAAATACATATATATGTTATTGCCCCCAATGGTTTATTCAATTGTTTATCAATACAAAGAGCCCACAAGTATAATGTATAATAATGTGAAGTAATTATTTTTAAATTTAGCTACGCTTGCTACCAACAAACGCGTATTTACAATGCAGTTCATTTATAGGAGCATACATTTAGGAGTTATGGCTCAAAAATCTACATTATATTGAGAGTTAAACTTAGTTGTTGACATGGAATTTATAAACACTATCGAGCTATTTTCCGAATTGAATATTGATTTTGCCTGGCTTATTTGCTTAAAGTTGTAGTGGAAGGGTGCTAATGTGGTCAAGAGAACAAATTATTTAGTAAATAAATATATACTTACAAAAGAACGAAAATGTTGCGCATACGCCCCGCCAAAAAGTTGATTTTTGAGATAGTGTTACGAGACGTGGCTTATTTGACAATAGTGAAGAACTTCGAAAAGAGATTTAAAGTCGTTACTTTTGGCTGATCCTCTATCTACCACTAAAGATTAAGCTCTACAAGTCGCTTGACTTTCCCGTCCTGCTGTAGGCTGCCTAAGTGAGGATATCGATGAAATTCGACGAGTCGGCGTTAGAAGTTTCTGAAGTATTTATAGACGTAGAGGATATAATGGAGAGCTGTGCGAGTAAAGATACTTCGATTGTTGTTTAACGGTTATATACATATCGTAGTTGTATGGGAACTATATTGAAGGAACTTCATTTAAACAGATAAAGTGATAAAGTGCTGATATAAATGATATATATAATGTTATAAAAAAAATTTTCATACAAAAATTTAAATAGGTGTTAATTATATCAAGTGTATCAGCCGTTTGCAAGTTTAAAGGAGTATATAAGGAGTCCTGACTACACGTTATTGTGTCTTTCTGTATTTTGCTCAATGTAAAGAAAGACTGGGTAACGGCAAGTTAAACTCCCTACGTACGTACTACGGAAACAATTGGTTTCTGGCAGTGCAAAAAAAAAGAGTTCGTACGAACTGAAAATTCTAAAAAATGACTTCTTTCCCGAAATATTTTTTTTTTAATTAGGTTTTTTTTTCTAATTTGAATTTTTCTTTCTTAATTAATAATTTGATCAATTCAAAAAAAAAAAAAAACTATTATATCCGTTTGTAACTGACTTGAAATTTCTTCAGATGCCTTCTATGATTCCTGCAAAGAAAAGAAAAACAATTTCAGGAAGTGGACCGGGGACTTGAAGAAATCTTCTTTATGGTTCCATTTACTTGAAATTCGGTACATGGGTGAGTTTTTGAGCAGGTAAACTACTTTTCTCTTAGAGAAGAGAACTGGGGATTGGCCTATTCAAAGAGTTGGACTATTCCTCTTTCCGGGAAGTGGACCAATGTCAATGGTTAAAACAAAAATATTATATTCCCACAAGTATTGAGTAAATAAAGTTATGATAAACAGACAGTGATATCTACGTCTGGGGCTGTTACTCTGGGTAAGGTAACGGACCACTTGAAATGGAGTTTCCAGTAGAACAACGATCCTAAGCATACCCCGCAGCATTGTAAAACTTGGTTGAGACGTAAAGGCATTAATGTTTTAAATTTGCCTGCTCAGTCACTTGATCCCAACCCTTTTTGAGAATTTTTGTGACAACGTAAATAAGCAAATTAATAGGGACACAGTAGAACCAAGTACGAAGTGTTCAAAGCTGTAAAATTGGCATAGGAGGGCATATCACAAGATGTTATCGATAATTTGATATCTTCAATGCCTAAAAGATGCCCTTCAGTCATTGAAGGTAAGGGCTTAGCTATAAAATATTAGCCTAGAGACATTTTTCTTTACACCAATAAAGAGGTTGCTTTAGTTTTATCCATCAAATTTTGGACTATAGTAAACTATCAGGTGTACAACTTTGCTTCCGCCGTTTTCCGATAGGTGGCTGTACCGGCTGAGGCTGGTTGAAATACATAGATGATAATGCCTTTAAAGTGGACAGTGCCTAACGAATTGTCATCGCCGTTTCAGTGACAGTTGTTCTTGTTTTCGTATTATTCTCGCTCGAAAATGTCCGTTTATGATCCCAATTCTCGCAATTTGCGGGAAGTTTTACTTTTCTGTTACAATTCGAAAAAAAATGCAGCTGAAGCGCATTGAATGCTCTGAGTGAGAGAACGTGTCGGGAGTGGTTTCAACGTTTTAAAAATGGTGATTTCGATGTCGAAGACAAACATGGTGGTGGAAGAGAAAAAACCTTCAAAGATGAACAACTAGAAGCATTGCTTGATGAAGATTCGTGCCAAACCCAAGAACAGCTTGCCGAATCGTTGGGAGTGAGTCAGCAAGCCATTTCAAATCGTCTCAAAGCCCTGGGCATGATTCAGAAAGAAGGAAACTGGGTGTCGTACGAGTTGAAACTGAGGGACTGAGGGAAACGCTGAAATGGGAAGTCTTGCCCCATCCGCCGCATTCCCCAGATGTCGCCCCTTCTGACTTCCACCTATTCCGTTCGATGGCACACGGAATGGCAGATCAACATTTTCAATCCTTCGAAGAATTGGAAAAATGGATTGCTTCATGGATAGCGGCAAAAGAGGACACCTTTTTTCGAGCCGGGATCCGAAAATTGCCGGAGAGATGGCAGAAAGTTGTCGCTAGCGAAGGACAATACTTTGGATAATACACCTGATACATTAAGTTAAACTTTTCAAATTAAAAAAAAAAGAAAAAAAAATAACAAAAACTATATTGCTTTAGTAAAAATGAATAAATAAACACAAAAAAAGGCAAAAAAATTAATTTCCGATTAATTTGTTGTTAGAAAACAGCAACAGCTTTAGTTTTGACCAATAAAGTAAAATCAATCGAAATATCGAAATAAATAATTACAGATGTGTTATATTTTTAGAAAGTGAAAATAACGCATACTACATATGTAATAATGTGCAAGATAGCCTTATAACCTCAAATCGCAAAGTTCTCTAAATTATTATTAAATAACTGAAATTAATTACTGAAATAAATTAAAACATAATTTTCGATAACAGTTATTCTATAATCCAATTGGACTATATTTCTTTATTATAATTTCTTCATTTTCATATTTCTACTCAGTCATGCAATTATGGCCTATATGGTGTCAAAATATGCCAACAACGATGATATGTACCCTAAGGACTTGAAGAAACGTGCACGCATTGATCATATGCTACATTTTGAAAACGGTGTACTATTCCAAGTTATCAAGGATATGGTGGTAAGAATATAGAAAAGAAAATAAGAAAATAGTGCTGTACTGGCCGCACTGAGTTTTCAATTGTAATTCGTTTTCACACTTTCATTACAGCGACGCAACATCTATGGAGGTGAAGCCGAGTTTAATCCAGTAACATTGGAAATGTGCAGCAATGCATATAGCTTTTTGGAGTCTTTTCTTGGTGACAGTCCATTTTTCGGTAACAGTGCTGTACTCACCATAGCCGATGTTTGCCTCAACACAACATTAGTTACACTTGACCTGCTCATACCGGTCGATGATAAAAAGTAATGAAGAAATGATTTTGATTTCAAATTATACGAATGAATACAAAATTAAATTTATAAAAATTTTAATTGCTTTATTATATGGCATACAGACACCCGAGACTGAGAGCCTGGATGGAGCGTATGAAAACTCTGCTACCTTCATATGAGGATGTCAATTTAAGTGGGGCGAAGGTGTTGTGCGACCGCATAAAGAAGACTATGCGAGGGAATAAAATCAAGGCGGACAGCATTACTGAATATGATTAAGTATGGTTTTTTTTTGCTAAATTTTATGTAGTGAATTTATTTTTATTTAACTAATATTTCTTTGTTTATTTATTTAGTGATGGTTGTTAAATAATTGTTGTAATAAAAATTTCACATGACAAACATTTAAAAAATGTATGTGTTAGAATCAAGCTTAGAATAGGAAAAAGTATTGGAGACTCAGTTAGAGGGATCGAACCTTGGTCGCTTAAAAGTAAGATAAATGTTTTGGAAAATTTGTATATTAAAATTTTGAAATTAGAAATTAATGTTTCTGAGGCATTGAGATAAACCAGCAAAAATGAATATTTACATATCAAATTATATCAGCTGTGCTCATATTTCACCTGTGAATTCGGTGTGAAATCACATAATTTGTGCTCCGATTTCCCTTTAAACAGTAAGTACCTGATGCAGTAAGTGCGGCCTGGACGGAAATCATTCAAATACCGACTGATACTCTTCATTTGAAGTTACAAACCATCGTAGATAATTTCGTCTATAAAGGAACCAGCATCAACACCAACATTAATGTCAGCCTTGAAATCCAGCGCGTAGTCAGTCTTGCCAACAGGTGCTACTTCGGACTGAGTAGGCAATTGAAAAGTAAAGTCCTCTCTCGACGAACGAAAACCAAACTCTACAGGTGTCTCATCGTTCCCGTCCTGCTATATGGTACAGAAGCATGGACGATGACAATATCCGATGAGACGGCGCTAGGAGTTTTCGAGAGAAAGGTTTCACGTAAGATTTATAGTCCTTTGCACGTTGGCAACGGCGAATACCGCATACGATGGAACGATGAACTGTACGAGTTGCGAATACTCCAGCTTTGAATGTTTTCGATGCAGTGCCCGACGGTGGAAGCAGAGGAAGAGGAAGGCCTCCACTCCGTTGGAAATACCAGGTAGAGAAGGACCTGGCTGTGCTTGGTATTTCCAATTGGTGCCAAACAGCAAAAAAAAGAAACGAATGGCGCACTGTTCTAATAAACGCGTAAGCGGTGTCTACGCCAGTAAAGTAAGTAAGTAAGGGACTTTACAGCGGCACGATCTTCGAATTTTTCCTTATTTTACTTTTCACTCTTGTTTATGTCCTTTGGTTGAAGACAGCTCAAAGACCAAATGTCTAATAACAATGAAACCTAGTATTTAAACTGAGCAAGCTACAATCTTAATTATCTTAGCCACCCCTCTCTCATTGCGCGAATATAAAAACGCCCTCTCGTATTATTTTATTTACAAAATTTTGTGCAAAGAAAACACACGGATACATATCTAATTAATTGCAGTTTTATTAAATTTACTTATATTAAAAACTTTATTTAACATTATTTACATACATAAAACAAATTTACAATTATAATCATAATTACTGCCAGTATACATAAATTTTGATTAAAATTTAAACGCTGCATAATTATTTACATAATTATATAATTATAAATTATATAAATTTAAATTTATTGAGTACACAGAATATCCTTTAAAAGCTTATGAGTGTAGATAAGTATGCATATTATTTTTTCATACAAAGTTTTTGCGCTGCTAAAACACTTTAAACGTTCAAAAATACATTTTCAATGCACACCCGTTACTTTTTGCACTCTTCTATAGCACAACATTTACATATTTATTTAGGCTTTCAATATCAGGTATATCTTTTTTTCATTTTTATTCGGTTTCAAAACGCAATAAATTTCATCATTTAGTATTTAGTATTTCTTTAAATTGATGTTAATACTCGTTTGTATGTATTTATGTCTTTTATATAGAGTCTTCAAAAGTTGTTTTCATATATAGTAGTTTTTTGTTTCTAATATTTGATTCTAAAATTTCTACAGGAATACAGGAAATGCAATAATTACAACAAATTGCAGCTTGTCTGCTGCGCTCGTTGTTGAGTAAATGCTTACATAATTTACGTACATTTTGATATTGTGAATAAATAGTTAAATTAGTTTTTTTTTGCGTACAATTAGCACTGCTAAATTATGGAGCTTTCCTTAATCCATTTAAAAGTTATTTGAGTTAATATAAAATAATTTTGATTTAATTTTTATTATTGTACATCAAATAGTGTCTGAGCTACTAAGTTACTGTTGTCATTCTTAAGATTTCGCAGAAAGTGTTAATATCTTTTTTTGTGTATTTCAATTTTCAAGTTCAATTATTTTTGCGCTCGCATATAAAGTTTTGAGATGATAATATTTTTTATTCATTACAACGAAAAATGCATCGTAAAAACATAAAACAAAAAAAAATACACATCTGATGTGCTTTGCATAATTCAGCCTCTCTCAATGACCTCAAATCTTACCAACTTGGTAAAAGTGATTTCTATTAGGGCCTTCGACATATCTTTTTTCAAATCTCAACTCATCTCTCGTTTTTTAGTTGCCATAAATTCAAACAGCTGTAGTTTTCTCACTTTCTCAAAAAAATATACGGTCTGAGTGAACTCCAAAAGAATTAATTGGTCTAACAGAACAATGATCTGGAAAAGTATCTATGTATAGTAAATTATATTTCAGTTTTTTGTTTGTTTCTAAATAATTTTTTAATTCGGAATAGGCATTGGAGAGGGTATCCGTAATACAAAAATTCTATAACGTAGTTTCACTTCGAAATTTTCGACACTAAACGTGTTGGCTCAGAAATGTTTGATCTTGCCACTTTTCATCCAAGTGAACAAAACTTTTTACACCCTCGAAGCAGGACCTCCATTAATATAACAAACATCTTAAAAACTGGACAGTGTTGTGGATTGTCTGTTTCTTAAACGACTTTTGCCGCAATTGCAGTGACATAGATGAGGAGGAATCGGCGGAACATTATCTCGGCTACTGTCCAGCTTTCAGTGGGGTCAGTTATAATTTTCGCTGAAATTTCTACGAATTATAACGTATTTATGAAATTCAAATATCTATAAAACTGATAAACTGGTTGGACTTCAAACGCACAGCTAGACTTTGTAAATCAGTCAGTCTCCCCCTCATCTTCTTCGATTTGTTCAAATTTTGGTTGGGTTAAATATTTTCTTAAAATTTACTAAATTTGTTATATAACAATCATAAAACGCATATGCTCGATGCAGTCCACTATCAAAGACCGGAAAGTGCAATATAATCATATGTGATTTTTTGGCGGTTAAGCATTTATAAAATTTTAAAAATCTCCACATATATTTTATTTAAAAGTCATAGTAAGAGCAGAGGTTGGCACGAAAACGACGAAACACGTTTAATATCAGATGGCTGTGAGCCCAACTCCTAAGAGAGAATGAAACTACCTTTTAATTATTGTATAATGAGATGATCTTTATAAATCATTGATTTCTTCGGTAAAATAATGATTCATGTGATAAGAAAGTAAGAGTGAGTTGCTTGAGAGCCTCTGAGATAGAAAACATTATTGCCCTGCGATCTTGTCATTCTGGTTGGAACTAGGAGTTCGTTGAAAGTTAAAAAAATGTTTGAATTCGAAAGAAAGTGATATTCAATTTATAGAAGGTGAAGTTGTCACATCATATGATTGCTTGTTCTTCTTCCTTTTTAACAAATTGCACAAAAAAATACATGGGGAATAGGTTATGGCATTTCGAACGTTCGTTTATACAAAAAAAATACATTGAACGATTTTCGTTTTTGACTTTTCGAAACTATGATTACACAAACAAAATCTATAAGCTTTTTGTTTTCTTATTGTGTTTTTGATATTTTTTAAGTAGAAATCGGGCTGTACAGGAGTGTTATAGAAACCGACACGTAATCGCTTAAGACATTTATGATTTTTAATGAAAAATAAAATTGATGGCATTTTTGATGATATACGTATACAAAACTTTAAAGAATAAGAGCAATCCTTTGGAGCTGACAGAGTCGATGCAAGTGCAATTTGCATTCTACTTTTACATTTGCTGATACAAAATTTGTTTGTATATAGATTCATAGATCAATATCGTCTTAATAAATTTACTGCTCGGTTTAGTTCTGACAATTAAACCGATAAATCAGTTTCTTTAACACACAAAACTGACACAAATTCTGTTTCATAAATAAGACCGAAACGCAAATAAATAATTCGAATGTGTAGCTACTTAAACAGAATTTTGCCGCTTTCAAATCTGATTCTGTAAGAACGTTGTATCGAGAAAAATCTGTTTAAACTTGCTTGCCGCATGCAGCTACCTACCTTGCGGCTCAGCGCGTACTACTTGGCAATATTTCGAATTTCGTTCTAAAATTTTTGAAGTGTATTCTTACAGGCCTATTCTGTCGAGATAACAAAATTTACCTAGGTATTAAAATTTACCCTTAAGTAAATTTTGTTACCATTTCGTATTCTGAGCGAAATAGGAGGTAACAAAACTATGTGCTGTTTGATTTTGTGTTGTTAGTTTCAGAAAAAATAAAAACCAAAATGGGTAGGCATATTTTAGGCCTGGAATTCATTGAAGATAAAGAAAAAAATGCAAAAAGCCGTATTTTAAGAAGTTTTCGAGACAAAAAATAGCCCTTTAATTTGTAAGATAACGTTTTCACTCTGCTTTTTTGTTGTCCAGGCATATTTTTCATAATTAGGATCAAATATTTATGATTTAATAAACAAATTCATAAAACTTTTTAATTTCTTTGTCTTCCATTTCGATGTGAATATTTTTATTTTTACTTTATCAACTGGCAAATGTAATTTGACATGGACGAAAAAGCAGTGCTGCCAAATTTTTTTCAAACATTGTAACCATTTTGCCAGAATACCAAATTCAATTTCGTGTGTTAAAGAAAAGTAACAAAATTTACTTTACCGGTAACAGTGAGAATAGGCCTGTTAATATAAGGTATAGTAGTAAGAAGGTCGATTATTCTGAACGAAGTTACCAGATTACACCCTTAAACACTGAAGAGATTTTTGAATTTTAGTTTACAAAAAAGACACAACTCTATACAACTCTCTTAGATAACACTTCGAAGTGGTATTTTTTTTATTGGTGGCTCGCACTTACTGCACAAATGTTGGCAAATTGAAAACTTGTATTAGTTTTGACAAACTCTTTACAGTCAAATGGAGTCACATAACGAGACAATTGTTTCATAGTATTTTTACATTTGCAAATTCGAACTCATTTTTTCATATCAAATTATTGGCTATATTAAAATCTATATATGTATATTGAACAAGAATTAAATATTTTTTATCTTTCACTTTCTCTTTTTGCGTAGCACTTGAAAAAATATTTGACAACTATAGACATCGACTAATCGCCAAGAATGGAGATTGAATTTCTTAATCTATAGCTACATTAGCTTGCTCGCATGTTTTATCATTACAATAGGATTTAATGTCTTACGCTGCATCTTTTCGAATTTTATACAACCTAAATATGCTGTTATTCAACTGATATTTTCTTTAAAAACGATATTAGTCTTGATAAAACTTTTATTTTGCGCTATAGAATTATACATATGTATGTATATTGTTATTTGTTTATGTTTATTTAGATATATATATTATTTGTTTATTTTTGCCAATCATCACAGCGCTTTTACATCTAGTACAATACATAATTACGTACAACTATTGTTATTACAAAATATATAGTTTTATGAATATGTTTCATTTTCGTGCTCCTTAATACTCCAAATATCTATATATATGCATGTACCTGACATTTTACTGCGTACATACATACACTATAATATCACTATATGTGATTCATCAGCGCGTTCTTACGAGTATAAAGCAATCAACTGGTATATACAAAAGAGAAAAATGCATTGCTTCTACATACATTTAAATTTACGAGTACAGCAAATATTAATCTAATTATATTTTAAGCAATAATCACTACCAAAATTACACTCGCCATCGAATGTAAAGTAGGGAAGTAAAGAATTATCGGTTCATTCACAACAGCCGCTGCTCAATCGAAGGTAGTCCAATTGCGCATACCACAATTGGTACCGGCGAGTCCGCCACCAGTGATGCCATTGCTGGTGCCGCCAACATTTGCTGCCGTCGTTGTTGCAGTTGTTAGTGTGGTCGCTGTGGTCAACGAGAATTGATCAAGTCCATATTTGCGCAACAATTCAAAATCCTCATCTGGTGCTGGCATTGGTGGTGGCTTGCTGGTTGGTAGAGGTGGTGGTTTTACCGTTGGCGGCTGCAATTGCACCGATGTATGTGCACGTGTTTGTGGCTGTGCACGCATATGTGGAGATCGTGAATGTTGGGGCGTGTGGTAAGGATACAACGGATTGCTTATACTACTACTGGCGGCGGGAGTGTTGCCCAATGTGTTGGTATTGGCAGGCAAGGTGGTTGATTTCAAACCATTCGTCTTGGCACTGCTATTAGTGTTGGCCATGCCATTACGCAACGGTAGCGGTCGTGCATTCTGATTTAGTGGATCGAAATCTTCTAAATCGAAGCTTGTATTCGTACTGTCGTCCAATGATATTAGATCGTTCATGGTGTCCTCCTGCGAGGATGTTGACGATGGTGCGGCAGATTTGAGCGATAACTCCGGCACTGGTAGATGTTGGGACTGAAGTGAACGCAAAGACTGCTGAGTGGAAGAAAAATGTATTTAATTGTGTATAGTTTGGAATTTGGCATGAAAAGAAGGAAAACAGTTTGAAAAAATTTATGCTACCACAAAAAAAAAAGCGTTTAAAGCGATTCGATATTATGATAATTTTTATTTTTTTATATGAAAATCTTGAAGTTAAACGTATTTATTATTTTTAAATGAAATGTAAAAAACTTTGAACTGTGTTGGTTAATTTAATTTCGTAAAAAATGTATAAATTAATTTAAAAATGTAGGGGAAATAAAAATTTCGTAGCATATCTTTGTATACCGGAACCCTAATAATTAAAATTAAGACATTCTTCCACTATCCAGTCTAAAAGACCTCAATGATTTCAAAGCTACTCGGCTATCTATCTCTTGTTATAAGCACCCTCCTTGTCAGAAAAGGAACGTTCTATGTAATTATCTGGTTTGGTTCCGGGTGTATAGATACTGATTTCTGTGTCTTTATCCACCTCAACTCTATATCCCCCCTGGAGGCGAAGGCAATATTAATCCATTAGTATGTCCATTATTTCAGTTAATAAATATTGCGCCCAAAATAGCCGAGTGCCTAGCATTGCATTGCGTACTACCATTCGTAAGGCCAGGGTTCGAGACCTGGTGCGAAAAACATCCAATATAAAACATTAATTTTCCTAATTGCGGCCGCCTCACAAAAAAGAATATGATGCCACCATGTGTATTTCTGACATGAAATAAAGTTACTCATTAAAATCGATCAGCCGTACGGAGGCAGCATAGAATGCGTTGTATGCCTCCCTATTTGTTGAAAAAACATCAAGGCACACCCCATAAATTGGAGGAAGACCTCGGTAGAAAATCGCTTAAGCGATTACAGAGCGATAAAGATTTATAGAAGGGAATTTTCCCTCGGGTTGAGTGCCCTTTTGTTGTGAGCTGTTTGCTGAAAAAATTTGTGGGTAATAACAGAGCAGATAACGTACGTGTGAGATTCCATGTCCAAAGAGTAAACTTTGGAGACATCTTGGAATCAGAATTAAGCACTAAATTTAAAGCCACGGTTATGCTGGGAGGAAATAATACACGTAGTGGAAGCAAAATACTTCCTCAAAACCAGGTCTACTGAGCTACTACGACATTATTAAGAACACTATGCTTTATTATATACCTACTTGGTTTTCATGGATTTTTTTCTTCAAGAGGCTGTGTTGCCTGAGTACTTTGAAAAGTGTATTTTCCATTGACATATTTTAATTCCTACACATTTTTACCTAACTTTGGAGTAGCAGATGTGAAATCGTCCCCTTGTCATTCTTCCAAATCCTTCATTTTCTGCTGCAATGTCGTTCCTTTGTGACATAAATAGGAATCCTACAATTTTCGACCAAACCTCGACAATAACCTTTACCTCTCTCTAGTTAGGGCAACTTCTCAAACTTTTTTAGAACTACATATGTTGTTTAGAAGAAGGCTTCAACGAAAAAATCGAAAAAAAAGTAATAGAAATTAAAAGTTTTATGAGCGATTCTTCGAAAAATTTTCCAACTCAACCTTATCACAGTTCAAAGTTGAAATTTATATCCCGACAAAACAGAGGTATTAAAGTCTATGAATGAAATAGTAAACCAGTAATCAAATAATATGTCTTTAAAGCGTAATTAAAGAAATAAAAGCATGAAACGGTGGAATGAGAATGGTGGAGGAGTGGGGGAAGGGAATGTGGTATGTTATGCAATCCGAAAACCAACAAAGTTAGATGGATATGAGCGCAGTTAGATTATAAAAGCTTCATTTTCGTACTGCACGCCAGGGCCACTACGCTAGGTATACATTTCAAGGTGTACATGCTACGGGTTGGTAGCGTTTTCGGATACCTCTTTTTTCTGCCGCGGCGCCGGCACTGGTGTTGTCTCCGTAGATGCTGTCACTGCCTCTGTCTCAGCTGCTGGTGTTGTTGTTCTCGTTGAGTCATAATCACACGACCGTGCCTGATGAAAGAATGACGACGATGCAGCCGATACAAATGAACCGCAACTCGAATCAAACGATGATGATGATACCGATGTGTTGGATGCATTGGAAGACGACGAATTGCGCAGCGCATCATGTTGCAGTAAACTGCGTTCGGCGTAATCTTGCCAGCAATTATGCTCCAAACGCTGTATACCCGCGTGTACGGCTGCAGCGGCCATAGCGATCGCATTACCACCGACAGTAGTAGCCTTCGAACCAGTGGAAGTTGTATGAGCTGGCGGCGCACGTATGCATGTCAAGTATGCACTTTCCGCACTGCTCTCGCCAACAACATTCTCCCCGGTGCATTGACGTCGCGGTGGTATCGGTGGTATTGGTGGCGATTGCATATCTGGTGGTTTATCATAAATAAAATCGGATGACACTATTCTATTGAGGGTCGATGCGCGCTTTGCGGTCTGTGGCATTGCCACCGAACTGGTTTCTACTGCATTTGAGCCCTCCTCATCATTTACAGTCCTTGTAGGCGGTTGAGGTACCGGCGGTGGCTTCGTTTCTATATATGGATGTAATGTGAGTGCCGTTAGTTGACGTCGCACTTGTGGATGATTGTAATAGGACACTGGTGGGTTGGCTGTTGCAGTGTGCATTGCATTTGTTGGTCCACCAGCAGTTAATGATTGTAGCAAGTGTGCGGCTGGTGGCGGTGGTCTTGCTGGTGGTGGGCCACCTGTACGCGTGGCTGTGAGTCTTTGATGTTGATGTTGCTGCTGTTGTTGGGCGTTTTGCTGCCGCTGGCGAGCTTGCTGGTGCTGATTATTACTCGCTGAGCTTTGATTTTGTTGTAAGCGATGGTGATGATGATTGTTGTGATGCTGTGGATGAGTTTGGTGAGTGTTCGAATCTAAGCTCATGCTGGGCTTAAGCTGTGGGTGTATGCGCACGCGTATGAGTGGGAATCAAAGCAAACATTTTTTGTTTTGTTTTGTTTTGTTTGTTGATAAGTTGTATTTGTAGCGTTGTTTGTTAGGCGGGAAAAAAGCGCAGCGTTTATTGTTGGTAGTAGTGGGAGGATGGTGTTGATTGATGGTGGTTCAATGGCAATTTGCCGTTGCGTTTGCGATTTTTTATGTATTTTTTATTTTTGCAGGGTTTTATATTACGGTTGATGTTATGAGCAAAACAACAACAACATAGAGTATGTGCAACAGAAATGCGAGTACATAAAAAATATAAAAATATAAGAAAAGGAAAAAAAGAACAAAGAACAAAACAAAACCGATAAGAACGTAATGTAACGAGAACATTGAGCACAGCAAGACATATATAATAATATATAATATGTACACACACACAAACATGTGTTAACACAAACATATATATATATCTACTAGTTTAAAATAATTTTATTATATAATACATTTGTATGAACATACATACATACATACATACATACATACATACATACATACATACATATTAACAATAAGCAAAGCAAATCCAGACATTAAATACATATTTACTAACATACAGACACACACATTTCGGAATGACGGGCAGGCGTACGGATTAAATGAAACAGTAAACACGTCCATACAAATATACATACATATATAAATGCTTAGGTATACTTATAAGTGAAAATTTTATAAAGTCCAAAGGCTTGTGGGAGTTCATTTGCCTTGAAATTTTTTTGTATGAAAAAATTTAGTTCATATTAATACAGGGTGCGCTCTCTGCTGCGATACATTTGAAACTTGAATAGTTCCGTCATATTTTGATGTACTGACATAAATATATAATGGCTTGTTCAGTCTGTTTTAAGCCATAAATCAACTGCATGCTCCATGGCGTTGGTAAGTTTATGGGGGATGGTACTCATTTCGAATTGAATGGCGCGGTTAATAAGCAAAACTACCGCTACTGGGCCGACGGAAAGACTTGTGAGATATTCGAGGCGTCACTCCACGATCAAAAGTGTCCGTTTGGTGCTGCGTATCGGTCAAAAAGATCATTGATCGTATTTTTTCGAGAAAGATACTGGCAACGCCATTACGATCAATAGCGGGCGCTGCATAATGATGTTGAGTGACTTTGTGTTTTCGGAAATTACCGCGATTCCATGACAGAGCATAAATTAGCTCAATGCCAATATTCGGCAGTAAATATCACTTATTACCGCCGAGCCGTTGGAAAATGTGATATAAAATGCACGAAAAAGGGGAAATTTTTGCATCAAAAATAAATTCAGTCATTTGCTGGATATTATACTTGTATTCAAAATCTGATGTAAATAAAATAGAAAGCTACAAATACAGGTTGTTTGGAAAGTTTCTGCGAGTAAATTGAAAAAATACTGTTTTCAGTGCAAAAGATATTTTTTTTATTTAATATAATCTCCGTTATTTAAATGATCCTCCAATAATATTATGCCATCCCTATAATGACTTTCCGAAAGCGCAGCAAAATACTCGCCTACGGCTGTAATAGCCACTTCATTCGATGATTCCACAAATGAATTGGTTTAGATTTCTCAAGACCTAGTAGTCGTTGGGAGGGAAATATGGTGAATTCGTTGGATGTTTAAGCAATTCGTACTTTAATTCGTTGAAATTTGTCATTGTTTTGGTGTTTTTTTATGAGCAGGTGTATTGTGTTGATGAAAAATTATTTTTTTTTGTGCTGCAAACCTGGTCTTTTCTTACGGACTTTTTTTATCCAGCTGATCCAAAAGTCTGCAATAATATTCAGAGTTGACTGTTTTACCTTTCTGCATATAATCAATCAACGAAATTCTTTTTGCATCCCAAAAACTTATGACATAACCTTATTTGCTTGACGTTGTGACTTAACCTGGTTTAGAGCTGAACAGCTTCGGTCCACTGTCAACGTACTTGTTTAAATTTAGGATCATGGGGTTATAACCATGTCTCATCCAAGAAATCGGTTTCATTCTGCTTAAAACGTTCCACATTATGCTGAGAGATTTGTTTTCGATCCACTTTTTGTTGAATTGTTAACGCGTGCGGCACTGACTTTCTAAACAGTTTTTTGATAGGAAATTCTCAATGTAAAACATCAAGTACTCGTTCATCTGAGATTCCTATAGGGATTTCACGCTTTGATGTATCATGAGCTTGCTTAAAGATTTCTGGTGTGGTTGCGGTTTTTCGTCGTCCTTCGCGTGGATCGTCTTCAAGCCTAGTACGACCACGTTTGAATTCACCAGCTCAACGGTGCGTTTTGAAGGTGAGGAGGACTTCTTATACACTTTTAAACCTTTCAAAACAAAGTACCTAATCATTGCGCGATATTCATTTTTTTCATATTAACTTCAAATGGCTTATAAACAATGAAGGAATTGACAGAATGACTTGTAATTTTGCATGTTTTCTCACGACAGCTCTATTTGAGAAATACAACTTGGAGCTGGGTAGTGCTATTTCTTGATGAGCGCAGAAAATTTTCAACCAACCGGTAAAGTTTGTGTAAAAAAAATTAAAAAAAAGTTGTTTTATTCAAAAGTTATTAAAGTTTCAATCGTCATCGCAATAGATGGAGCACCCTGTACAATGCAAATTTGCTGAGTTAATAACTTTTTAAATATGTGTATTCAAAGACCCAAAATAACTATTACAAAGTATTAAAAAAAAATCCCGCTGCAGGTTAGGGGCTCAAGAATTTACCCGCGGTAAGGCATGCCTGTCGTAAGAGGCGACTAAAATCCAAAAGTTCCCGCGACAGTCGGGTCTTTATACCGGAACGACCCGGATTTTTATCCGGCCAAGGACTGTCACTCTCGCAACATTCCCCAAAAAGTACTTTGGGAAATAACTTTGCGGTTACAACAACAACAACATTAAAAAAATGAAATAGTTGAGGTCTAAAATAATTAATATTTTTGCCATTATCATGATATTTTTAGAAATAACAGTTGTGACTCTAGATACCCTTGGATCGAGCAGTGCGAAGAAATCTTCTAAAACAAATCATGAGCTTTTGGTCAACTTTTTATTTAGGATAAAATCAGTTTCAGTTGTCAAAATCTGTTTTTATTATTACTATAATTTTTTTTTTAATAGGAAAGAGTCATATAATTTTTTATTGAAATGTTAAGTTCAATAGCAAGCAAACTGTTAGTCAGAAGGGGATATATCATTTAAATTGGTTGTTTCGATTGTCGTGAAAATTGTGAGTTTTGATTTTAGTAATTTTTTACAACGTATACTATAGTATAGTATGTATGTGAGTGTATATAAAATTGTATTTTAACTAAAAAAAATTTATCTAATTACTTTCAGATTAAATATTCTGTTAATTTTGTGGCTTTGATATTGCGTAGGCAGTACTGTAGAATTTTCTCAACGGTCCAGCTAAATAGGCAAAAATTAGAGGCTATTTTATATCACATTATTTCATAAAAAAAATAAAAAAAGCACACGCCTAACGAAATAGGAAATGCTCGCATTTAAAAATTGTAACTAATTCCATACTCTTATGCCATAGCTTGTAAGGAAATAACTTTTTGGAAAATAACACTCTCTATTGTATTATAACGATTTTCGGGCCGTTAAAATAACTTAGCGATAGTTTTAACGATTATTATATTCGGTGTATTTATGTTAACGATATTCGCTATCGCTAGAGCAGCTGTTGCCGTAAACTACTCGAAAAATTTCTAACAAAGCGACGAATATTTTGAAGTTGGTACCGGCATCGACAAAATATTGATATTTTTTAGGGTTAAAGTAAAGTAAAATAGATCGGGAAATTTCCTAAGTTATATAAAAAGAAAAATAAGATAATAATCAAAAATGGTTTCGGAGCATTTGCCATTGGTTTTAGACCCAGGATGAGGAGATATCGTACCCCCTTTTCCACTTGAATGCAACTGAGAGTTAAATAATTCGATTCTCAACTTCATAACTAAGTGAAATACAGAAGAATAACGGCGATATCTACATAGAAATAGTCAAACTCATGACACTCAAGTGTTTTCCCATTATTAACTTTCAAGATATCGTTGGAGCGCAATGGGGAATAACTGTGAGTCAACCGTCTCTAAGTCTTGGGAGCCATCGCGTATTAGACGCAATCAATCATTCGATGTTTTTTTCGAAGGTTACATTTCCAATTTCCCAAAAGAAATTTTTTCTCCATCATCGTTGCCATTGTTGGAGGCGCTGTTAGGGCTATCGATTGCATTCATGTATGATTAATGAGCCCCAGAAATAATGAAGAAGCTTATGTCAACAACCATGTATACCATTCTGTCAATGTGCGAATGGTATGTATAATTTTGCTTTTTCAATTGTTATTGCACACAGATAAGAGTGCGGAGAGAAGTGGTGGAGGCTAACGTTGGGTTGTTGGTTGTTGGAATTTTTCCGCCATCGCCTTTCGACCCGGTACTCTTTGTTCTAGCCGATGAACAGGGTACCCAAGTTATCATGTAGTGAAGAAGTGCCAAAGGTCAAAATTCTTCGTAGTCTGGTAATGAAACATCTGGAGAACAGAAAATTTGACTATATTTTTGGAAGGTAAAAAGATTTCGGCATTGCCCTTCTTTCTTGCTTCTTTTCAAATTGTCTAGAGGCGGTTTTTGTTCGTTTTTTAATTTACTTTTCAATTACAATTTATGTTCAAAAATATGCAGGCTTTGTAACCGCTGAAACGATTTTTGGGCCAGCTCCTCCTCTAATTTGATGGGATTAATGAAAAGCCTTTATTTCATGACAGAAATACACTCGGAGGGTTGACATTTCCTGCCCAGGGGCGACTGTAATTAGAAAATGTAACTTAATAATTTTATTTAAATTAATTTTCTTTTGGATGTTGGTGCGATCAGGATTTGAACCCGGGCCTTTCGAATGGCTATAAGCAATGTTAACCATCTCAAGGTCTTTAAGTGCGATTGAATTACGCTTGATGGGGATAGTCCACGGTGTGGAGGACCAATTGTCGAAAGTGGCGATAAAAATAATGGAAATCGTCGAGCCTGATGTACTGTGAGCTCTGTTTTAATTGCCCAGGAGCTAAAAAAAATTGCACATAAACTGTTCTGAACGAGTTGAAAAAGGCTGGATACACAAAGAAGTTCGGTGTATGGGTGCCACATGAGTTAAAGAGAATAAACCTCATGGACAGAATTTCTATCTGTCAACGATTCGTAACAAAATCGACCCAATTCAGAGGCTAAAGGTGACTGGTGAATCACCAACAATAACTTCAAATGAAAACAGTCATGATCGAAGGAAATTAAGCCGGCAAAAACCATCTCCAAGCCGGGATTCACGGCCATGAAAGTTTTGCTGTGTGTTTGATGGGATTGTCAATCATCACGAACAAACTTCTAATTCGGAGCTGTGGCACCAACGAAGCGGGAATTGTGTTTAAACAGGACAACGCCAGACCACTCACTTCGAAAATGACTAACCAGAAGCTCCAAGAACCTGTTTAGGAGGTTATTTGCATCCACTTTCTAGTCCGCATCCTGCACCAAGTGAAGTATCGCCTTCAAGAGAAGCCTATAAAAATCGATTGCCGCAATTGTTCGCCAATAGGGACAAGGGTTTCTATGAGAGAGGCATAAAACATACTCTCAAAATATGATATCAGGTGTACAACTTTGCTTCCGCCGTTTTCCGATAGGTGGCTGTGCCGGCTGAGGCTGGTTGAAATACATAGATGATAATGCCATTAAAGTGAGTGTGGACAGTGCCTAACGATTTGTCATCGCCGTTTCAGTGACAGTTGTTTTTGTTTTCGTATTATTCACGCTCGAAAATGTCCGTTTATGTGCCTAATTCTCGCCATTTGGGGGAAGTTTTACTTTTCTGTTACAATTCGAAAAAAAAATGCAGCTGAAACGCATCGAATGCTCTTAGAAACATTACGGTGATGCTGCTCTGAGTGAAAGAAGGTGTCGGGAGTGGTTTCAACGTTTTAAAAATGGTGATTTCGATGTCGAAGACAAACATGGTGGTGGAAGAGAATCAGCTCGGCGTGATTTAGTACGAGCTCTTAAAACCGGGTGAAACCATCACAGGAGATCGCTACCGAATGCAACTGATGCGCCTTAGTCGCGCGCTAAAAGAAAAGCGGCCACAATATCAAGAGCGACATGACAAAGTCATCCTCCAACACGACAATGCTCGGCCTCACGTCGCAAAAGTGATCAAAAAGTACCTGGAAATGCTGAAATGGGAAGTCTTACCCCATCCGCCGTATTCCCCAGATGTCGCTTCTTCTGATTTTCACCTATTCCGTTCGATGGCACACGGCCTGGCAGATCAACATTTTCAATCCTGGAAAAATGGATTGCTTCATGGATAGCGTCAAAAGAGGACTCCTTTTTTCGAGTCGGGATCCGAAAATTGCCGGAAATGTGGGAGAAAGTTGTCGCTAGCGAAGGACAATACTTTGAATAATATATCTGTAAGCACTTTTTCGAAATAAAAATTTTAATTTTGGAAAAAAACGGCGGAAGCAAAGTTGTACACCGATATCAAAAAGTTATCGAGCAAAACCGTGTAAACAAACAAAAATCGGATTCCTAAATTTCATTGCAAAAACAATGGATTAATTTATACTAGACTTAATATGTACACATATAGGCATATTCCTTCGTATTTTCTGTTACGGCCACAAATTTTTAATGTTAGTTCCGCTCGGTTAGCACTATTACTGTTTTTAAGGGCTACCAAAAGTTAAATAAAAAGCCTGCCCGCCACATTCCTTTAAGAGCAGCAAAAAACAAACAATAATACACACACAAATATGTATAACACTAAATTAATTACCACAAATACACGATGGTTATGTAAACAATAAAAAAACCAACTGAATGGATACTCACGCTACGATCCACAATTGGTGGTTGAAATAACGGATGATTTTGTAGTTCTTGTGATAAATTCATCTCCGACGAACAGAGCGAGCTCGCTGGGCTAACAGTTGGAGACGGAGCCAAATGAGCAGCAAGATGAGCAGTGCCATGCGTAATGCCCGCAAAACCGTTCGACTGTATGTGCGCACTCGAGCTGGACATAGCCAAAGGCGTGGCACGCCGTAGATACTGGTTGGAGCCATTCAAATCCTCCGGCCGAGCGTATTGAAAGGAAGCAGCACCCGTTGATTGCTGATTTGCGCCACACGTAACTCCTGCAGCTGCGGTAACACGTTTATTGCTGAAAATCGGTGAACTCGGTGCTGAATGATGACCGCCAATCGATTTAGTTTTGCCGTAACCAAAACCAACACCAAAAGCACTGCCACTACCGATACTGGTGCCGTCAATGCGATCGTGTTGCGAGTTGGATGTGAGATGCGAACGGAAGTGAGTTGTGGAGCTATTTGGTGGTGTAATATCGCGTAATTTAGATTTTAAGTCTTTATATGCGCTCTTGACGCCGCGTGAACCCTCTTTGACCTGCGCCAAGGTGCGTAAGTGAAGCGAGGAGGAGTAGGAGGGAGAAGAAGAAGATAAAACAGTGAGGGATTAGTATTTAATGAAGGCATTGTTGAGTTGAAAACTATTTGACTAATACAAAACAAGCATACTTTTAGGCGTATTGCAAGCATTATGGGCATTAAAAACGCCCGGTTATAACAACACAAACAATTTATTGAACATAACGGTTACGAATTGTTAATTTACGTAATATAAAATTAAACAGACTATTTAATATATATTTGTTAGTTAGTAGTTAAAACTTACAGTTATATTAGCTACTTGTACATATATGCCACTCACCGATTTCACAGCAGACTTTACGGCTGGATTCGTCTGCGTTTCAACGTTAAAGATGCGCATACAGTAGAGATACAAGCCAAAACAAATTTACGCAATGTGTTAAAATTTTTTGGTTTTTTTTTTTTTTTTTTTTTTTTTTTGAGATTTTCAATGAATTTTATTTAAAATGAAATGCATTCGTTCGTTCAACGGACGATTACAGAGCAATTGAGCAACGATTACGGAAAAGAACGTAGAAGCGCAGTAAAGCATTCGCCAGCCAGTCGACGTCGAACGTGTTGAGTATGTAGCAGTAGTGTGGTAGCAGTGGCAGTGGCAGTTGATGATTGGTGTAGAGTAGCAGTTAAAGAATATTAAATTTTTTTTTGTTTTTTTTTTTTGTTTTTGGGAGCAACATAGCGCGTTTTAGGTACAACCGACGATTTCAATATGGAAAAAAATTCGAAAAAAGAAGAGAAACAAGTGATGTTACTATTGACTAAGCTATATCTGCATGTATGTAGGTATTAGACATTAAAGCATATTGGTTGTATGTATGTATGTACACAATTTGTTTAAAAAGCATGATTTGGTGTGTGTACGCGTATATGTATGTATGAATATTCGCACCAGCAGGAAACTAATATGTATGTGCAATGATACAAATGGTTGGATATTGATATTATCATTGGAAATAGTATAATTATAGTTAATTTTCAAAAAAAAATTCCCATTGACAATGAAATTTTTGGGTGCCATTGATTATTAAAAACTCTAAGCTTCATAACCGTTGATAAAAAACCATCACCAAAAAATTCAAAATGTAATATATTTAATATTTGTTTTGTTCATCTAATTAGGCGGGTGAAGGTCAAGGTCATATATGTATGTTTGTAAGTGTTTGATTATTTATTACATCTACCTGTATTTATTCAATAAAATGTGAAAAATAATCTAAATGCTATTTATAAGTTGGATACTTGAGAATATTAATAACTGTGTAACTAAAATTTGTTAAAAAACATAAGTTACTAAATCCTAAAATTTACAATTCTATAATTCTAACATAATAATTAAAACACATCTAAAATAATTTTTCCCATGAAATTCCTCTTTTATTATAAAATATTTAAGAATTCATTTCGCAGTATTTTCGCAGCGTCTGCCCACCAGAGGAACCATCTCTACAATAATAAGAATAATCGACAGCCTCGAATGAGAGAGCCAACGTCATGACGACCCTACAAACATTTTAAGGATCACGTATTAAGGGCTTGCAACTGAAATATCCCGCTCCTTAAATGGAAGGGCGCCTCCTGTTCAGCTGGGAACGGAAACCCATAGGTTGTGGCTGACTGATCTGTTGTTTGTAGCAGCACAATCCAGCACAAGTCAGTTCATCATGTTAATTGGCTGACACCGGACTAATAATCAAGAAACCAAATGTATTATATACTGATATATGGATGATATATACCCATTGTTCTAGATGTGTGTACGTTCCGAGAACCTAAAATCGACTCTGATCACTGCCATGTCAACAGCCCCCACGTACTCCACTTGCAACTCCTTAGAGAGCACACGTCAGCAACTCTATATAAGGGAACTCCAAACAGCATCTCAATTCCCCTATCTAAAGCTGTAAACGAAACTTATGATTTCCGACAAGATCAACACGTACGGATTGGGCTAGATACCGAGATCTGAAGGGGAGAACCAAGACGCATTTGCATGCTAGACAAGAAAGAGGCTGTAACAAGAATACTCTTCATACCAGTGTGTCAATCTGGTCACCGATGTGCAGAACATACTATGCCCACTGATGGCAGCGAAAATGGAACATCCGGAGATGGGGAACCCAAGTCCGCAACCTATGATGATGGAAAAGACGTTCTAATACCCGATTATGATGAAGCTCGAACATCGTTTGACCGCTTAAAGAATGACAAAACGGCTGAAGCCAATGGTTAACCCGCTGAGCTAGTCAACCACGGTGCTTCTTTACCGAATATAGACGGACGAAGTTATGCCAAATGCCAATTATCGTGGATTTAATATCGCATAAAAAGCCTCAACTTGGACTTTATCAGTGTGGCTTCGAAACAGGTGAATCTACCAGACCAGAACTTGAATAAAATCTGTGATAAAAGATGCATTACGGAAGTTTTATTATCCGCTCCGTATATGAGAGCTTTCGGGGAACACCGGTGATAATGAAACAATGAAGTGTACGAGATATACGACGACATTGACATAGTTCAGTTCATAGTTATAAAGAGACAGCGGTTACACCACCTTTAAAGTATTCGATGCACTATCAGCTGGTGGAAGCAAATGAAGAATAAGACCTACACACCGTTCGAAGGATCAAGTGGTTAACGATCTGACTTCTCTTGGTATTTCCAATGAAATTGATTTTTTCCAACTTTGAGCCAAGACATGTGCGTGAAGTGTTTCTTTTTTACAGGCTGCAGCTCTTCCCAAGTATCAAATCTTCACTACAACATGGAATAATACAAAATAAAGGTGGAAACATTTAGAGCCAGTGAGATTCTTCAGCAGCCACAACAAATTGACCCACCTTAATATGAATTTATAGCCGAGGCGTGAAGTGCTTATCAGTGCTTGAAGTGATTTGTTAAAAGTTAAATGTGCATATTTGCTCGTTATAACTTTAAATATGTACGTGATGGAAATTAGAAATGAAAATAGTGCCTGCAATACAAATCGCTACTCTAAGTAATGGTGCGCTTATTAGAAATAAAAATAAAATATAAAGATAAAACTAAGAAATAAAAAAAACTTGGAACACAATGTTAAACTACAAAACGAGAAAAATATTTAGTAATATTTAACAAAAAAAAAAAAAAATTATTGTAAACATAAAATTTAACCAAAAAAGTAGTTTGTTAGGAAACTAAAGAAAAAAAAAGAAAAAAAAAATAATATGAAAAGGAAAATTTACGAACTTTTGAAAGTGAGTGTTTAGAGATTTTTCTTTTTTTGCATTTTTGTAGTTGAACTGAGTGACGAGGAACTATTTTTCAGTCCAAATGTTTGTTTTAGGTATTTTTTTTTTGCAATTTAATGGGTTTGGAGATTATTTGTTTGCGAAAACTTCTGACATACCGCATTGTACTGTAAAAATAAATAAAATTAATTTTAACAAAAAATAGATAAATATTAATAAAATAAAAACAAATAAATGAAAAAAATCATTCTTTTTCAATTAAACAAAATCAGACCTACTCACTAATATAACAAAAATTATGCGTGAAAATACCATTTGTGTGGGGAGAATACTGAATTACATATCTACTTTAAGTCCAAGACGATTCACGTTCTGGAAGAGAATATTCGGCATGTTATTGCTAGCATGCGGCCCCAAATGACCGAACAAAGTCACAACTAATTTTGACTCTCTGCTAAAATTTATTCGATCCTGCCGCGGCGATCCCTAACCCGAAATCATTTTCAAAACATAATGACAAACACTTATTTTTATAATAAAGCTAAATTCTTGATTATAACACTAAATTATATGCGTTTGGCTTTATTTTGAAAACCACATTTCTACAAAAAAAAAAGACACCCTTTATTTCATCAAAAATTAAATGGTTGCTGCAATTGATTGATCTACATCATTTTTTTATAGTCAGAAATAAAAATTGTATTTAAGGTATTTTATTTTAATAAACTACAATAAAGCTTTATCTTATTTTACACATACATATAAAGGGCTTTCCAATAAGAGGTGTTATTTTGATTTCCATTCGATTTCACTTTTGAAACAGTAAGTTTTTGTCATTTGACAAGTAAATCCTTCTACGCTAGTCATAAAAATGGAACGGTAAACGCTTCAACAAAAGCATTGAAATTATTAAAATTCGAGGTCCATTTCCACCACGATGGTTACGTCTATAAGCAAAACTGTCGCGCTCGGAAATCTCAAGATTTATTGTTTGTTGAAGACATGGATGAGGATGACCTCATCATCCTATAAGTAATATGTATAATAATAATAAAAGCCTCTCCATCCTCAACGTATAACTGTTTGGTGCGGTTTATGGCCCGGCGTGGTCATTGGAGCTTACTTTTTTGAAAATGAATGGATTGCGCCATCGAGAGATGATTAATGCTTTATGGCCAGAATTGATTGGTATTGATCACATTTATTTTCAATAAGACGGCGCTACGTGCCAAACAAGCAACGAAACCAATTATCTTTTAAGGAAAAAGATTCATTGAATATCAAGATAACACCTCTTATTGGAGCACCCTTTAACTCAAAAAAAAAAAAAAATTGTATGCAAAATGAATCGAAAAACTTTGTAATACCGCAGAGATCGATCGAAGGCGTGCCAACTAAAGAGCTAATTTAAATAAAAACGTTTAACTATTTAATTTCGTATATAAATTTAATGAATATCCGCGTCATTGCAAAAAACTAAACATGCAGATTAGTTCAACACATACACATACATTTTGTATAGGAACCAAATGAATGAATAATTTTTCTTATGCGTGTGCACTTAGGTATGTAGCCCTGTGTGTATGAATGATTTTCCCCAACAATATTTTATATTCTGCTTACCCCTACTTAAAGCAAAGTACAACCAACCATTCACCTCGGTAGACAAACACAAAATGCATGACTTGCACTTGACTACGTATATATGTATGTATGTACGTATGTATGTATGTATGTAACTAACTAATAGTTTAGCAATAAGCAGTTGCAGCATATGCAGATGCACATACATATATATGTATGTATGTATAAAACTACTTTTCAGGCCTCCAACTCCCACCAAACACCATATACATATATACATATATGTATATATGAATATGTTTCAAGCAACAAGCTATATTATTTATATTTCTATTATTTCTATTCGTAAGCGCAAATTTATAAATAAATTCGCTCTAAAATAAATCAAGCTTAATTCATAATATTTATATTATAAATATATATATTTAATTGCGATTCGGCACACACACTTACCTTTTCCTTAACATTGTTCAGAAATTCGTAATGTCGTCGTTTCTTCATCTTCTCTGCATACCGCGCTGTCTCCAATTCAAATTCATCCGAATAACCTAAGCCGGTGTTGAGCATTTGCAGACGTTCATCAATGAATTGTTGAAATATTTGTAATTCCATCATTTTCGTAAGGAACGGACGTAAATGTTTGGGACGAGATTCGATAAACTTATCGCGGTTAAATGTTTTGCCATTTTCACGGAATTCTACAGCGTCGCGATAACCGCTTATCAGCTGCACTAACACACCGAGGAATATTTTCGAAACACGATCGCCAATATGTTCGTGTGAGTGGCTGAGTTGTTTCTTCATTTGTGACACAATATCAGCTGGCATTTCGCGTACATCATCGAAGGGACTTTGAAAGACTTTAGTATCACAGTTAAGTATCACAACTTCGCCAAGCTCATCGGGTGTCATCTGTTGGTGGGTAAATATATTTGATTTAGTTTAGAATTTCAGTAATATTATTTTTGAACAGGAAGGGCACTTTAATATAAATGTTATTTAAGGAGGACGCTCCAATGCTTCTAATTTATTAAAGCCGAAATCTATCCTAATTTTTTTTCTTTTTTTTTTTTTGCAAGCGCTTGCCCGATCCCACTTAGGACCAGGCAAAAGACATATACTAGTTTCGTCGGGAGGGCCATGAAACGAGTTGTGTCGATGAGTTCGAATCATAGGAAGAGAGGTAAGGTAAGGTGTGGAAACTTATTGCGTACTGGACCAACGTTAAATATGTATGTCGGGATCACGTTTGGTAGTCGGCTACATTACCACCAGTATTACTCGGGTCTCGTGAGGCAGCGTCAGCTATGGGTGTTGGTTGGATTCCGATTACATTTATCATTCACACGTCTAAGGTAGCATTCCAGCAAATATTGCTGACAACGCATAGCTTTATGCTCCTTAACTGAAAGCAAAGATGTTTGATTGTGTAGGTGGTGTACAGGTGGCGTCGAAAGATTTCCTCTTACGCTCTTGAAAACCGGATTGTATCTCTTTCATCTGGGTCTCGCTAGCCTCAAGTGGCCAAATCGACGCCGTGTGTTTATGTTCGGCCAGCCGATTGCCTCGTAAGTTGTGAGTAACGTTTCTTTGTGTTCATCTTAGGCGCTGTCAGGTAGCGAAAATGTTGAAAGTAAACAATAGCTGCGGAGCTCCGCCTCTTCAACTTCTTCGGCAGTAATGCTCGATAGTATATATGACCGTGTCAAAAGTTTCTGACAGATGCAGTGCTACGGGGACAATTCGCGCGCAGGTTCAATTTTGGCAAAAGCCATAGTTTATTATGGACTTTGAACTTTTTCCCTGATGAAATCAAACGCCAGCTGGTGTGAACCTTTTCCCTGATGAAATCAAACGCCTGCTGGTGTTTACCAGTTTGTGCAGATGACGAGTTACTTTTTGCTTCATTTGTCAACCGAAGAAAAAAAGCAGCTAAAATAACTTGCTCTCCGGTACCGGGTTGGCGTAGACAATTGCACTTTAATGTTAGATCGGCCACTTTAGTGGGTAAAGTGATTATGGGCTAATGCTCTGATGCAAGAGCCAGCTTAGGTCGTCAAAATAAGTTGTTCATCAGACAAGCAGTTGTGATTCCGACCGCGGCGTTGTCATTCATCGTGCAATTATTTAATAGGGTGGAAGCTAAAGATCGTGGTGCGAGTTAAGTCGCCCAAAACAGTTCAGAGATGAAACCCTCTTGCCTAATTTTACATTCGATTAAGATCCGAGCGCGCTAGGGTGTCGCCCTGGTCGTCGGAATTTTACCCTATCCCAACTAGAAAGCGATATAACCCAACGCGTTCGAAATATGGGGCAATGAGTTTTCACATGAGCTCCTTGCATTCTTTTTTGAACAGACAAGAATTATTTTATGCAACTCGCAAGAATTGCTGACTGGAAGATTATTACTAATCGCTTTATCTTTAATTTTTTTTTTTTAGCAAATATCCCTATAGTAGCCGCTCTCGAGAGACCCAAAGGCTATGCGAGTTTTTAAAATTCCTACAATGATTCTAAAACCTCCTTACAAGCTACTTTCATACCTTCGTCTGAATCAAAGCTAATAAAAAAACTTTAAGACGTTTCCAGTCGGTAAAAGATCGTATTTCATAGCTGATCTTTCTAAGTCACAACCAGCTCTTTCCTCGATAGCCGATCTTTTTTTTTTGGATAGGTGGAAGCTTCACTAAATATTTGATCCTTAGAATTTTAAGCAGAAATGTCATAAACAGAGGTAATATCTCACAAATGATTTTTTAGTGTACACGATAGGGTTAACTTTGGAAGGTTGGTGGCGTCCAAGTGTATCTTACGAGAGGAATATCTTATATGTATGTAAATGTAAATACGTACAATATGTCAAGTGATTAGTACTTGTAAAATACTTATTTTTATTCACCGACCGTTTCAAGTACTGTTTGCGGCACGCCAATCAGATATGGCATGGGTGCGCTCAAGTAGTCTTTCAATTTCATCGGTAACACTGGTATAAAAATGTGCTGCCACACCATAGGATATAGAAACGCATTCGCCGCTTGTATGCACGATGACAAACGATCCAGACGACGCGATGTGAAAATGATTCGTCGCTCCGCCAGCATCGCTGCAAATACTGCAATCATGTTCTTTGGATCGACAAAATTATAATACAGATTTAAATTGTGCTAGAAATGAGAAAAAGAGCAAAACAAGAAATTAACGCTATCATTCCATACATATTTACATACATGTACATATATGTAAATAAATCTGTATTTCAACACTGCATACAATCAAAGCTGTTCTACTTAGATTTTCATTAGACTTACATTGGCGGGTATGCTGGGCAATTGGAAATGCAACGGCCGCTCAAACACGAAATACTGTAAACAAAGCAATCACAAATTTATTTGATTAGATTAAATCGTTTCAAAGGCATTATGGTGTGAATGTGTGAGCTTACATTTTGACCGCCGCTATAGAATAATTTCAAATGTCCACCCGGATCGGGCACACCGCGATTATATGCCTCGGCGAGAAAAGTACGAAATTCATCGTTGGAATTATCAACATTCGTTGTTGTTATTGTTGTGGTGCCATCGCATCGTCGCAGTTCGGCGAGTAATGTCAATAATCGCAAAAATGTGTCGTGCCATGGCAAGTAGGTGATTATGATCATTGCTCTATCCGTCTTAGGATCGTGTCGACAGAAACCAAATCGCCACTTTGAGTCGTCTGTTGTGAGTACGAAGGAGTAAGACTGCACGGAGTCACTGTAAATTATAATTAATACAAATTTCATTAGTCCTTTCGTTTGATTAATTAATCATCTTTCGACTTATCAGCAAATTTCGATAATTTATTCATCGCAAAACTCCAGTTCTAGCGGAAAAAAACAACTATAGTATTGAGTTGCGGAATAAGTTCGCTCATTCCAAGACCTCGATCAAATGAAGGGTGTTATCTTCGACGGCGAAGAAGACCTCAAAACTTTGCACAACAACTTCTTCGACATGAAACCGTCAGAATTTCAGCAAAACAGCATCAACGAATCGGTCGAAAGAAGGAAGGAGATCGTAGATCTTAAGAAGTAACGGCCGATATATAATTGACTAATTTATTGTTACAATTATTGATTTTTTGTTTAAAAAAGAGCCTATGAAAAAATCGAGCGAACTTATCCCCCCACCGAATAAATGGTGTAGTTATTCTTAAAAAAAAATTACTTCAAGAAATCTCACCTGAGCTAACTCCCTAATGACATTAAACTATACTCCACTCTCCTTAAATGAGCCCTGAAAGGCATTATAGCTACACTGATTTAAAGCTCTGATGAAAATCAGGACATTCCCTTTTTCTTCTTAGATCTCAACATGATTTGTATGGATGTAAAAGTGAGAATGTGAGACCTTTCAACCTCTACTCTGACACTCTTCCTTTGAAATGAAAAAAAAATATTTTCAAAAGTCAGTGCTGAAATATATCTAATTCACGGATCGATTTCCCAGTAGTTTTACTCACTCTTTGGGGAAGATTGTACAGCATTTCTGAAGAACCACAAGAGCTGCATCAGATTAGAGGCTAAAGGATTTAGCTGCAGTAAAGCATGCCCGTTGTAAGAGGCGGTTAAACTCAATAGTTACCGCGGCAGACGGGTCTGTATGCCGAAACGATCCGAATTTCCACTTTGGTGATTACAACAACAACAAATTTACACGGTCGGATGGCTAATAAACTGACTCAGTCTGTTTGGGTAGCAGAGTTCTCTAATAACTGGAAACCTTCTGATCATAATACCAACTAACGCATCTTACAACTATTGTAAAACATCCTAACAGACATAACGGCCGTAGTAGTCGAGGTGAAAGCATTCGGAAGGCTCGGGTTCAAATCCTGATCATACCAATATCCATAAGTTATGGAAAATTAATTTAAATAAAAAATTAAGTTAAATTTTCTAATTGCGGTCGCCTCTTGTCAGGGAATGTCCATCCTTCAAAGCGTATTTCGGACATTAAATAAAGGCTTCGCGTAAAAAACCCATTAGCCATTCGGAGGTGGCTTAGTATAAACTGTGAGTCCGTCTATTTGTTGGAAAATCCATAAGCTTTTCTTTCATTAGAAATACTAAGTGAAGCCGAGTCGCCTTCACCCGGATGTTATAATGGGGTTGAGGTCTTCCTCTAACGAAATTTTCTCTACAACTTCAAAACTATGACAATCAATAGAGGTGGTAGTCTAAATGCAGGTGATATTTTGTCATTTCCTACCGGAGCCATTGTACACTCTTGCGAAATATCGTACCTTTTAAATTTAGCTCGGCAACTCGTTTTATTTTTTCCAGCATTAAGTTGAAGGAATCGCACGATGTAGAGGTGTACTGTCTGAAATCTCCTTCGATACTTTTACCTTTTACCCAATAAGCTAGATATGACCTTATAAGCGTTATTGAGGGTGTTTATACTATGGTAATCGACGGAAGCTGTGGGACACTTATTTTTAAGAATCAATGCAAGTTCCGCTACTAATAGCAGTTTTTCGACGCCGAACATTCCGCGTCGGTGCGTAACTTCGCTGCAACAGGATGGCGATCTGGGCCGACGTTATATACACACAGGTCCTCGGAATGTACACACTTCTAGAAAACTGAGGACATACGTTCCATCTATCAGAGTATAATGGAGCTTGGTTAATTTTATTGTGCCGAGGAAGCTTATAAGGGTTGAAATAAAATTAAAATAATTTTTTCTTTTCAATATTTTCATCTGCGGGACGGAAATTCCAGAGCTTTCAACTATTTTATTTATACTCTCATAAAATAATGATTGCACCAAAACTGTCTCCTTTCGTTTTTGGAAACCGGTAATAATAACTCCGGGCCAAAACTAGGCTGTAGGGAAGGTGATTCAAAATATCGTAGCTAACCTTGTCCAACCCAACGCGGCTCTAATTTTTGCCGAAACGAGGACATTCGGCACCCATCTTGCGATAACCTTAGTTATGCCAAGATGATCGTGCATGATTTTTAAAATGGATTTATCGGATACTTCAATCATTTCTGCGAGTTGTTTCTTCTTTAATCTCGTATTGTCGAGCACAATCTTTTCATCTTTTTGCATAAGTTCTGGCGTGGTTTTCGGCGCTGCTCCTGTTCGGCTTCGGTTGTCCTCAAGGAATTCCCTTGCTCATTATGGCAACTACTGATTTTCCTTGCTTTGTAAGTAACTTTTAAACGTCACCATATTCGAATTTTTTATATTTAATTTTTCACTTCCGTTAGTGTTGCTTGGTTGACGATAGCTCAACTAATTCTTAGACAATGAAATCTCGTATTTAACACGAGAGCGTGATTAGACTCATTAGGGTCGTAATGTCTTTACAGGCGTAGACACCACCTAATCACCTCCTCAAAACCCTCTCTAAGGGACTAATTTCCTGTAGGGCGTCACTAAAACATGATTATTATTTTCACGAAAAAACTTAGTTTGAAAATTGATAAAATAAGAACTTGCGCGAGTGAGCGGTGAGTTAAAAAGTTTCTTTCATTTAAATTAAAAACACCGGTTTCTGTTTGAATTGCGGTAACCATCTTAACATATCTAAGACCAATATCAGCACTCATTAAGAGCTTAAATATTTAAAAACTACATTGAACTTTTTCCATAGCCATTTTTGGATGTGTGACCGGTTTCAAGTATCTTGTCTCATTTCAATGGTACAAAACAATGAGTCATCAAATCAAACAATTACTCATCACTTTAAACATGGGATATACGAGTATCTACTCCAATAAACTAGATTCGTTTACATTATACATACATACATACTCGTATTTGCAAATTCCACAGGCAACAGTAATAATGAATCGAAGATTAATTAGAAATGAAAATATTAGAAGGATTCCAGAGTCATTGTAGTTCCTTAAATGAGAAAGTGAAATTAATCATATAACTTGAAAACGAGTCTCTACCCATCATACACATGTATGTATGTATATAAATGAAACTTCAACGTTTGTATATTGAAAATTCTACGACGTTCGACTGCTTTTATTTTACTCGGCAAGAGAAAACTGAATAAATTGTTTACTTATATCTCCATACTGTTCGACTAGAAAGCAATGAGACAAACTCATGAGCAAGTTGGTGTCCAAGTCATCGAGCCTATTTCCACGGAATTTTAATTTTTCATCTTCTCTCAACAGTCTCAGATCCTTAAGAAAACACCCCTATAAATTTAAAACTCTTGATTTTCCATAGCATTTCTCCCAGAATTACAGGAATTGATCGGCGGTACAAAAATGCTTATAGACCTAAAAAGAGGATGAAATGTAAGTGGAGTTCAGGCTTAATCCGATTAAGGACGAGGCATCTTTTTATATATTTTGATAGTTTGCGAGGCGTTTTTAATTGTTTTGAAGACTTGAGTTATAATCCCTCCAAGCGACAATTTATAAGCAGACTCTTAAAACCATTGACCTTCCTGAAAGTGAAGTGTTTTAAGTCGAAACACCACATATTTTGGTTGAAAAATGTAATTTCGGATATTTTAGGGGAACTAGCTTGAAAAATTCAAAAATATTCAAAGTGCGTGTAATATTAGTGGGTCTGCTTTGAGTAAAGAAGAGTTTACGAGTTATATAAGCGTTGCCAAGAACGACTCGAAACTGGATCGGCTATGCAGCATCGTTTGGATAGTTTCACCTCCAGATACATATATTTTCGCGACGTTGTCAAGAGCTGGAGGTTTCTTAAGGCACAATACGGCGTATTGGGCATCAATATAAAGTCTAGCTCTCACAACAATTGGTCGCTCGAAAAACAAGCAGTAGACGGCGATTTTTCTTGGCGGATAACCTTTAACTCTTGAACACATGAAAACTATAGTTTGCCAAGTTATGGCTGAGATACGGCCCAATATGTGCTGAAGAGTGGTCGAGAACTACCTCAAATGGATCAAAAATTACACGAAGCAAAAATAAAATAAAAAAATCGGTTTTTATCTAAGATATAGCGTTATTGGCCATAGTACTAGTGTTACGTGTCGCATCATGTCATACTATACGGCGCTGAAAATGTGTTTTTTCGCGCTAAAAGTTTGTCTTTGACAGTTTTTCGATTGAATGACTTAGTACGTTGTGAGCGCTCGTCAAAGATGGACACCAGCAAGGAGTAAATTCGCTATATTTTACAATTTTTCTTCGATCAAGGCGAAAAAGCAGTTTATGGGTCCGATACTGTAAACGAACGTGTAGCACAAAACTGGTTTGTTAGGTTCCTTTCCGGTAATTTCTATGTCAAAGACGCACCACGCGTCGGGTGGCCTGTCGTCGAAAATTGCTCCCCTATGGCCAAACGCTCAATTCGGCCCTCAACTGCCAACAAATGGATCGCTTGAAGGCGCAGAAGAGGTCATCTTTGATCAAATGAGACCGAATTGTGTTCCATCATGACAACACCAGGCCACACACGGCTTTGGTGACGCGCCAGAAGCTCCAGGTGCGCGGATGGGAGGTGCTAATTCACCCGCCTTATAGTTTGGACTTGGCAACAAGTGATTATCATCTTTTCCTGTCCATGGCGAACACGCTGATTGGTGAGAAGTTTGGCCTCAAGAGAGGCCTGTCAAAATTGGCTCTCCGAATATTTTTCCAATAGGGACGCAGCCTTCTACGAGAGGGGTATAATAAATTTGGCACCCCGTTGGCAACAAGTTCACGAAGAAAACGGCGCATATTTGACTTAAATCAGAAAAATGTATACAAAGTTATCGT